CAATTATATGTGAAATTGTTGTATTTTTCTGTGTAATGCAACATGAAAAATCTAAAGAGACAAACTATGCGAGAAAAGGGAGAATACAGGGAAAATATATCTAACATTGAGTAAATGAGTATCTCAGTAATTTTGCGAGATATTGCTAAGCTGGCAGCAGTTTTAGCGAGAAATCGCCAAAAGGTGCCGAACGTGCTGACATTTGGGTCCGGTCCATGTATCACCTTAATAGGTGTTGTAATTGAATAAATCTGTAACTGTAATTTGACTCTCATATTGCCTTTCAGTAAATTTGAGAAGCAGAAGGCTGTGATAAAATAAATTTTATCAACCTATTATCGAAGCTGTGTGCATCACCATAGGGACAGTCTGCATCTCCCACAATTTTGATATGATGCCTTAACATTTTTAATAGAAGCAGCTAAGCAAGAGATGTCTTTTAGCTATCAAGTATAGGCAGAGAAAGAGTGTAATTAGATTAAAACAGTACTTATATAAAAGAATTTTGTTGTTCTGATGAGCTAAGAACTATGTGCAGTGCAGAAGGTTAAGATAACATAATGTGAAATTAATTTTCAAATCTAATGCAGTTTTGAAAAAGTTATTACTATTTTTAAAATAGAGATGGGGAAACTGTCAAAACAAAAAATATGAATTAAAGAGCTATTGCTAATTTAAAGTACAATTCAGAGTTACATATTTTTTATCTTGCATATTCTGCATTTAGCACTTCTTGTGGTGTACCAGTTGCAAGCAAAAATATATTTCTGAATAATTGCTCCTGTGCAAAATAAGAAAGCTAGCTGTTTTAACCATCAAACCAGTTATAATTTTTGCACCAGTCATCATCTAAGCAACATTTTTCTTACCCATGGCTCAATTTTCAATTGTGTTTCATATTTCCCCCAAAAGTACATCTCATGTATATAAAAGATATATGCACACATACACCATGTTCATAAAAGTCTTTAAGAGGCCTTTATGTTCACAGTTGTTGATTGCCCACAGGTACTTCCAGTTCCAAAAATAATTTAAATAAAGAAAAATATTTATGCGATAGGAATTAAAAAAGTAAGGGCACATTTCCAATTTCTCTTTCTAGGGATTGGCAACACTGCTAGTAACCAGTGCTGAGTGAGTGTAGTTGGTACTACTTCGAGACAACATGTCACTGGTATTCCTGCATTAGTTGAATCGTTGGAGTGTAGTAGAGTGCTAAACATAGCAGCTCCATTAGTGATCTGCACCAAGGAGGAAATGAGAGCAGTGATTCTCTTTTCATATTCAGAAGTTGAAAAAAACCTGTGGACATTATTCGTCAAATCAAGCACAGTATGATGACAGCTGTTTATCGTGAAGAAAGATCAACGAATGAATAGAGCACTTCAAACAGGGAAGAACTTCTGTGTGACGAGGCAAGATCAGGCAGGCCATCGATGTCAACCACAGAGGACAATGTGAATGTTGTTGAACCATGGCTGATGTTTCAAGTATTGCCGATTTCGTCCACTGTGATTCTTTGCTTTTCCCTCACCGTACTCTAAACGACATTCACATTGTCCTCCATGATTGACATCGATGGCCTGCCTGATCTTGTCTCGTCACATACAGAAGTTTTTGCCTGTTTGAAGGACTCTATCTATTCGTAGATCTTTCTTCACGATAAACAGCTGTCACCGTACTGTGCTTGATTTGACAAATACTGTCTGCAGGTTTCACACCTTCTGAATATAAAGCTCTTATTTCCTCCTTGATGCAGATCGCTAATGGAGCTGCTATGTTTAATGCTGTGCTACACTCCAACGATTAATGCAGGAATATGAGCGACTGTTGTCCCTAAGTGGTTCCAACTACACTCACTCAGTACTGGTTTCTAGCAGTGTTGCCAACCCCTGGAAAGAGAAATTGCAAATGTGCCATTACTTTTTGAACTCCTCTCATAGTTTTCCATTAAAACCATACCATGCATTTTTGGTGCCATGTTAGTGCACTTTGGCTTCTTTCTTTTCCTATGTCTTTAGCTCGATACTAAATAAAAGAGAATGATCGGAAAAAATAAGATACATTCTCTAATTTCAAGACAAAATCCTCCAAAAACACACTGCAGGGAAGAAGCAAGCACTTTGTTTTAGAGGCACAGAAATGATTGTCATTGAAGTATTATGGACTAAAGCTGAGTTCTTTTTACTAATAAGGCTATTTTTAATTTGTCAAATAATTCCAGAGGTATAACAATCTAGAACAAGTAAAACACATGGAATTAGCCTGAAACATTCATGAAAACCAACGGTACAAAAGTGGTGGAATCATGGTATAGGCAGAGAATCATTTTCAGTGGCTGCACTGACCTACATATTTTTACAAGTGGAAGTGTAAATGCTGAATTATACCAAGATGACTTTCTTGATCCTGATGTCAAGTTGTTTAGAATGCAATCAGTTATAGCTTACTCCTAACTCCTAATGAATGATTATTCTTATCGTCATGATCATCACACTGTGCGAGTGGCCTATTATCTTGAGGATGAAGGAATCTGATAAGTTGTGTAAGACTCACTAGGATGCCAACTTGCGTCACTGCAGTTCCAGCCTAGCACATTTCAGGAAATTCAAAGCACTATTCATTGAATGCATTTACTATGAATATACTTTGCATTACAGCAGAAACTCCTGGATAATGTAATACACAACATGGAAACTCACTGTAAAGCTTGTATTTCGGTTAGGGATGATCACATACGTTACTAATTTTTTCTATGTATCTCTAAAAAGTTGTAGGACCATTTTTTCCTGACCTCAGCTTATATCACATTTCTTATGTTCTTATGTAAAATTATTTTTTTCAGAAATATTGAATTCTGCTTGTGAGATGCAGATAAAAAGATACGTCAAGATTCACAAAACAAAGATTTGGAGGAAGTTTCATGTTTTTAGCTGCAAAATAATTTTAAATTATGCGAGTTTTTAGTTCCTTTAAATTTTCCTAGCAGTGTATTTATTCACCTGGCAGTTTTAAATGTGTTTGTTTAAATAAGATTTTTACATTAATTATTGAAAAATTATATGCAGTTAAATTTCATTTTGTGGGTATATTTTTGCCTAAAGTATTTTAATTGATATTCCTATATTCTTATAACCTCTCTCTTATCATTATCCAGTTATATGTGTGTGTCTAGTTGTCACTTTTTATTAAATGTTTTGCATAGCTTACAAAGTTAAGCAATTTATTTTTTCAAAATTGTTCATGTAAAATTTGCATTTGATGAATGTTTCAGGTAAATATTCTTCCTTGCTGTTCAATATTTCTTTATCTTTTCAACCATTGAATAACAGCAGCTGTGATGGTGCTAAATGTCATTCTCTATATGAAGCTTGCCTGATAATGAGTTTGCCTGCTGATTTGCTTCCTGAAACAAAGTGAGTATAAACATTCTGTTTAATATAAGAAATTATCATTTCGTACCTTGTAACAGTATTATTATGATTTTAGAAATGTTTAATTTAGATTTACAGTAGTACTTCATAGCATAAATGCCTTACACACTAAACATTTTGCACACTGAATTCACATACAGGCTGAAAAAATGATCTTCATGATAGGCTGAGTCCTGCATTATGAACCACATGCAAATATCATGACATATTATCAACTCGGCAAATATGAAATTCATTTTTTATTCCTTTTTCATTTTGTTGTGTGGTGTTGAAGTAGAGAAAATGAATATATGTAAGTAAACAAAAATGAAAACAAGCAGAAGAGCAAACAATTTATATTTTATATTCAATATATATTTCTGAGTCAAGTGAAAGAGAAACATGGCAAAATAAAATTTTGAACAAGGCCAAAAAAAAGCAACCTTATTTTATCATAGATTCTGAATATGACTCTATTGATTTTGAGATAATCTAACATAAGTCTTCTTCAGGGCAAAAAATAAAAATGTTTTGAGAGGGGCAACAACCAGTTTTATATCAAAGGTGGTGGTGGGAGCACAGTGAGCATGTGTGTACCATCTGCCAAGTAAAATAGTTATGAAACACTATGACATTAGAATTATAGAAGGATTGGGATTGGCTTGAAATTAATGACATAAATTAAAGAATATAAACTTATGTGAATATTAAAAGCAGAAATCCATTTTACTTACTGAAGAAGCATCATGGATAATTTTTGGAGAATCAAAGCCAAAATTGTATCAATTATCCAAATATGATAGACTATTGAAGATTTGTTTACTTCTCCTTTTCGAACATAACATGCATATTCTGTAATGGTCTTGTAGTTTGGCTGATGTATGACAAACTAAGTGCTATCAGTTCCCATAGAATTAAAATAAGCGATAAGATCTTTAAGAATCAAACAATGAATTGTACTGAAAAGTGAGAAAGCGATCTGAAAGTTGAACTTCTAGAGAATCTGGGCAATTTTATAGCTGATAGAAAGATGAAATGGTTAATAACAAGGTTATTATAATTATTTCTAATAGTGAAATGTCTTTTTTATGGCAAGATGAATTTTTTAAAAAGGCTTTGTCAATGATTATGAGAGAAAATCATCTTCAATAGTAACTGATTAAAAATAATAAGTTCATAAAAAGGCAAAGTTCTTAGTAATCACTATAGACAGCCTGAGATTTGGAATCCTCCTTCTGCCCCCCTCCAAAAAAGGATAATGATGAATCTTCCATTCTGCAACCTAGCAGAATACTGGAAAGATTCAGATTAAAGTAAATGAAAAAACTAAGATAATGTTTACATATAGTACACGTAAATTATTTTATCAATAATAAATTATAGTAAATGTTGAGCATTCCAAATTTGATGGTGTTTTAAATATTCTCTAATTTTTTTTTTTTACGTAACTATGCAATTTACAGTCTGGTTCAACAACAGAAAAATATTTTTCCCGTAATGGCCTATATTGATGACAAATGATATCCATGAAGCGCACCATCCTAGAATGGAATACGCTTATTTTATAAGGTACCCACTGTATTATAAGTTTTTTTTTGTTTGTTTTGTTGCTTATTTATTAATCAGGTACAAAGTTGTTTCACAATACTTAGAAATATGATAAATCACCAAATATGGTTTTTTCTTATTGGTAGATGGGTTAATGGCAGAATTCTCTTAATCATCATAATAAATTAACTGTAAAATGCTTATGATGCTTATTATAGGAAAAGGTTAGTCTTAAATTTTCAGGCTAAAAAATTTTAATTGTGTAATATTTTAATGGGAAGCAATGCTAGTTTAGAATTTTTAGTAAATGTACTGCACAGTTGCTCATTAAAATATTATTATGCATTCATAAACAACCTTTAATTAAGATATTTCCTTTTTCTGTGCAAAATCTATTGATATAGAATCAGTATTTACATAGAATTTGTAATTTTTATATAAATAAAAGCAAACATTTAGTTTAGTGCTTAAGAGGAAACATGTCAGTGAAGTCTGTCCATTATAGAGAGAATGTATTGTTATGAATTTTGTATATACGTATGTTACGGTGAAACACTGAAATCTGGAGAATGTCAACTTTCACTGACGAATGTCAACGTTCGCATAGTCTCTTGGTGTATGTCCGAAATATTTTCCAAATACTCTTATTTCTGACTTACACCAGTAAATGTCGACATTCACCATGTACTAATGGTGAATGTTGAACATATATGAATATTATTTTTTCTTCTTCATAATTCAGTCGCGAAAAAATGCTCTTGAGACTTAACATAAGAACTTAAAACACACAGTACATTCAAAATGAGAAAGGAAAATAATAGAAGTTAAAAACTTACTAAATTACGTGATTCAAATCTTATTTATTGCAATTATGACATTTTGAATTGCACAAGAGGCCCTTGCTTTTACCCTTGCATATATTTGTGGAACACTTCCTTTTGCAATAACAGTGTGTACATATACTCCTCTTTTTTTTTACTTACATCAGAGCATATCTGTGATTGTCGACATGCATCGGTGAGGGTCCGAATGTACAAGAATGGTAATGCAATATTCGATCTTTCACCGACGCCCTAACCATGGATGCTTGTAACTATAGGTGTCACAGTGTGGAGGTCGCTCTGCAATTCCGCTTGGCTACAATAGCAATATATCGATTTTCCGCAGGGGTTGTAACCTTGGGCGACCGGCTACGGACCTTCGGACAACTGTCTGTGTGGTTTGTTTCCATAAACATGAAATTATAGAATGATGAACACCGTAGAAAAGAGCAACATCTGTGATCGACTGTCCTGCTTCAATGTGCCTCACAGAACGCCAGTCTTCTGGAAGTCATAGAAACACATATGTCATGAAAACAAATTGTAGTTTTAAACACCTTCTATCAGCGTTTAGAATCAACTTCTGTAACCCTTCATAAAGCTGGCTTCTTATAAGACTGCCTTCTTTGCACATTTCTTGACATGAAAGTGTGATTGGCTGTTACCTAACATATTGCATATTTCTACGAATTGCACCCTCTTCAATTCGATGGCTCCGGAAATTGCATTTTCCTCCGTGCTTAACTTTGGAAGTGAGTGTAATTTTTTAGCAGTTAAGTCATGTAATTGTATTTTTTAATCTCTTTCAAGATTTTTGCATTATTTATGATGAATTATGTATCGTCATTCATCATCATTCATTAATGAAACTTTTTTCCTTATGATACACCCAATAGGCAAGATTTGTCATTCTAAGTAGTTTGAAGTGTAATTGCTGATTGTTAACTGCTGTTTGAAGTACAGTCATGTGCAAAAGTTTAAGACCAGTAGCCGTTTTTCTGTATTTTAACAGATCACCTTTCACAATGATGATTGTCTCACGAGTTAATGCACAAATGCTTCTATGCTGGTAATATAACGTGGTCTCATTTATCAGTAGTTTGTTATTGGAGTTTGCTTACACAGTGCTGTTGTATAATTCTTGTAATGGGTAAAAAACCTTCACTTACTATTGAAAAACAGGCAAAAATGAACGTGAAATGGGTTTTCTGAACATGAAATGGGTTTGAAGGTAAATGTCAGCAAGACAGGCGTGCATCAATCTATCAGTAGGGAAATTATACAGATCTTAAGAGAAGCGGTCGCCCAAGAAAAACTTGTGCACGTGATGATCGTGTTATAAGAAGGATGATCACTCGATGTCCAACAACCTCCTGCAATAAAATTAAAGCTTCTCTGGTGCAAAGGGTACCAACGTGAGTTCGAATACTATTTCGAGATGCTTGACTAAAGATTATGGCTTTTTTTCCCTATAAACCTGCAAGGAAACCTCAATTTACTGAAAATATGAAAAAGGAACAACTGACATTTGCCAGACAGTATCAGATTTGGACCAAACAACAGTGGAGTACAGTGTTATTTTCCAATGAGTCAGGTGTGCTGCAATTTTCTGCACATGCTAAATGTATTTGCCGCCCATTTGGAAAAAGATATGATGATAGATATACGATTCCAACAGTGAAGCACCTTACAGCCAGATGATATGGGGTGCAATGTCTGCATCTGGTACTGATGCTGTATATTTCCTGCCATCTAAAACCACGATGAACAGCAGTCGGTACCTTAATTTGTTATGTGACAAGTTGAAGCTTCACTTGGATGTGGAAGCTTCACCCATCATGCATGATGGGTCTCTGTGTAACAGGGCAAGGAATGTTAAGGACTATCTGAGGGCTACTCAAATCCAAGTGCTTGATTGGCCAGTTAACATCCCAGTTTTGGATCCCGCAGAGAATCTGTGGTGTATTGTGAAAATTAAATACGCGAAGAAGCTACCATCCAGTGCTACAGAACTTGTTGAAGCAATAAAACATGTCTGGTGTACAGATATTTCTCAAGCTTACTGCCAGTCTCTTCTTCATAGCATGATAAAAAGTAAAGGGGCAGTGATAAAAAGTAGTGATAAAATGTAAAGGAGGTCCGACAAAATACTGACTATACTTCAATAAACTTAAGAACCTATTTTTTTCATTTATAACATGCCCACCAGCGGGCAAGCAGTAAAGATGCTGAACACTGGTAGTTCGGTCCGAGGTTCGAATCCCGCAAACGGGCTGGCTGCATGGGCGTTTTCATTGGTTTTGCCCATGTGTAACATGTATATGAGCCAGTTTCCCTTAAAAAGTCCTCCACGAAGGCATACCTCCCTTTAGGCAGATAGCCCTCGTATGCTTTGCCATAATTGAATAACCCAACCCAACCCTAACTTCATTTATAACATATGATTTTGTTGCAGAATTCCAATAAATCTGATTTTTCCCATGTGTGGTCTTAAACATTTGCACATGACTATATAACTGCTGCTCATCAATAAATGTCTTTTGTATCTTTCATTAATGAATATTGATGATACATTTGCAAATGCTGATTTTTGTTTATGTGTTATTAGAAGTCCTGAAAGATGCAAAGCTGGAGATTATATTGAACAAGAAGCTCAGCCTATTTACTTTTCAGAAAACCAAATCTTAAGTGAGAAAGGTGCATCAACAGTATGTATAGAATTAGACTATACACCTGATGCCAAGCTCACTGAGATGTTAAGCTTAGTAAGCATCATTATTTCTTGGTTAAAAATTCTGTAATTGCAAGAGAGTGTAATAATTAAAGATGTTTTAATGCATTAATTAAGTAATCTAATGGGTGTGATCAAACTTTGGTTCTTATGATGTTGTATTAGGAAACAACTTCCTTATTATTATGTGGTCATGGACACTTAGCCACAGGATATGTAGTCGACACAGATAATTAACCGACAGAACATTTCGCCAACTGGACATTTAGCTGACAAGTTATTTAATCAATAGCATATATAGCTGGGAAAGTGTAGGTGTAAATAATAAAATTGTGACAATATTTTAGTAAAATTTGACCATATATATATCTAACAAAAGTCTGCGTCCAGGATACACAGCAAAAAGATTTATGGACAAGTACCACATTTTTGTCTTTATTTAGTGGTAAAGAATGTATAGATTTACAGAAAGGCAACCTTACTTTAGGGAATATTTCAAAATCAATTTCAAGAGCAATCAGACATAGGCAGGAAACAATTTTATATGAAAAGAAATGAGTAGAGCAAAGCGAAAAAATTGTGATTTGTCGAGGGAAATGGTTGTGAAAGATGAAAAGTCTAAGATATTAGTGATTTGAAAGCATTGAAAAATTAATGTCATGAAATAAAGAAGAAAACTCATTATTAGCTAACAAAACTTTGTTATTTCTGCTTTACTAGCATGTGATTCGTGTTTTATCCACATTTTTTAATGAGAAGATTCAACTCTCTTTCATTATCAGCCAAACTGACAACCACATTGAGCACCGCCTGAGATAACCACTGACCTGACTTTGTTTTAAAAGTCTTACAGTGTTAATAGTCATCCTGACAAAAGGGATTATTTCTTCCGTATAAAAATATAAATATAAATATTACATGGGCATACAAGGCTTGTGTATACGCATAGATATGTTAATTACAAACATCATCTTGTACAAGTTACTTGTGATAGTTACATAAAATCATGACAGTGATGTGCACATTAAACATTATCTGAATTCATTTACAATACTTTACCGATATAATCAAAGTAAAACTGTTATTCATGTACACATGACTGGATTTTCAGTGTCATTTTTAACTGCTTTATAATATTATTTTTAACAAGTGCATATAAAAGGATAATAGGCTTATTACAATAGTTTTGCTCTTACGGTTCCTGTTTATATTACAGTGTGAGCTTATTTTTTCTAGTGTTGATTTTCAGTTGTTGGGGTATTATGTGGGATTCAGTTTTCTGGTACTTTGGCTGAATTGCTGGGAAAAGTTCCAACTGCTATTAAAGTTGTAATACCAATCAAGGGAGTATCTTTGTTACTGTTCAATTACTTGGATATTACTGCAAGAGTGAACTACACTAATCTGCTGCTTCGGTAACTGTGGTTTGACAGCTCAATGTACTCCACTTTTGCAAGGCTTCTCCTCTACACTTTGATTTGTTATTAAAATTATGCTGCAAAGATACAATTCTCAAGGGATGAGGAGAATCTCATAGTACCTTGCTGAGCATAGCCTGATCACCTCCTCTATCTTAGTTTTCGTCTGCTTGTTGCCGCAGGTATTCTCCGCTCACTGCTGCCAGTATTCACTGCTTGGCATTTTTAAATGCAGTTTGTCGGTTTGTGGTTGGTTGAAGAGTTAGTGATCTGTATTACCTACCACACCACACTCACACAATTCTGATGCTCATTTTCCGAATCTCTTAAGATAATGTGGGAAGGGACCATGGCCAGTGATGAATTAAGTTTGTGCTCCGCTATATGTATTAATTGAGCATTTTACTTTCGGAAAGAACGTGTAGGTTTTCTTCCCTGTGCTATCACTTTCCCATCCTTTCTGACATTCTTGTAAAAGGCTTTTGAGTGGGATTTTTTTTAAAAATAGGACTGCTGCACACTTACTGCATTTTCCAGTCTACTGAAATCTTTGGCTGCAGATTTTGCAAGCACGTCCGCTGCTTCGTTACCAGTAATACCCAGATGAGCTGGAACCCAGATCAGGATAGATCTGTCATCTGGTGGGATACTTAGAAGAATTTTCTGAATCTCTTGCTCCAAAGGACTCCTTGTCTTATGCCCTCGGATGGACTCCAAACTTGAGGGAGAGTCACTATATGTATATATATATATATATATTGACCTTTATTTATAATTGATATTTTGCCAAATTGATGGGTGCTTTTAATGCAAGAAGCTCCGCCTGAAAGACAGTATTTTTGTCTGCCAGTCATCTTTCCCAAGTTTTAACCACTTCTTCTTGGACACAGTAGGCGCAGCCTGTGCTCTTCTCTGTCTTTGAGCCATCTGTATATATAGCTAATGTTTTCTCATTTGGTGGGGTGTAGACAGAACTACACTTATAACAAACTCCATTAAGCTAAAATTCCATAAAAATTAAAATCAGAGATGGGATCTTTAAGAACTGAACAGGTTTCAAAAGTAACTTGAAAATCGAATTTGTGGAGAATCTGAACAATTTTGTAACTAATGGGGAGATGAAATATTATGATTATTTTTATATTATTATATATAGATTATTAGGATTGTTTTTTATAGCTGAAGATCTTTTATGTTAGCAAGAGGTTTATGATAGCTTTTATTATTGAAAGGCTTCATCGTTGTCTTTGACAGAAAATCATTTTTCAATGGAAACATTTCAAATAATTAGTTCCTCAGCAAGTGTTCTGATATGCAAATTTTAGGAGTATGATATATGCAATAGTAATAAGCAGATATCTTTTAGATGGGAGTGACATGATTTTGCATGAAAAAGCAAACAAGACAACTGTCTAGTAAATGGCAAACATGTTTGTGAGATCAAAACTTATCTATAAACTGTTAAAATGTAATGTTTGTTGATAATTTATTGTGCAAATAGGTTTTTAAGTAATAAGTTATAAAATTTTGTATTGAATTATGAGGCCAGCATAACCTCTGATATATTTATTGAAATACGAGGCATGTGCTACCGATGGGAAATATAATGTTTTGTATGTAGAAATTATTGTGAAATAGAATGTTTAACACCAAAGAATTAATAATGATCTTTATGTGCATTTTAGAGAAAAAATGAGTTGTTTTATTTTCTCCTATATCCATTATGTTTTGCCTTTAAAACAGAGCAATTTGTTAAAAAAAATAAACAGCTCCATATTGCAGCTACGAGCCTTCTAAGAAATTGGAAATGTATAAATTGTAAAAAACACAGGTTATGTAAATTTATTATTAATTATTTTATTCACATTGTTAAAAATTTAAGAAACTTGATTAAAGTATTTATCTTAAAATTAAGCTTGATTTAAAAAATTAAGTATTTACACAGTTCTAGACTTAATTTGTTTGAAATGCTCTATTTTGATAAATATTATATTTATTTTATTCTTAGCTTGCATATATATAATCATGAATCTTTAGCATACAGAAAGAAAACTTACATTTTCAAAATCTGTTTTGTTAGATATTTGTATTCAAAAACATATAACAAGTATTAAAAAAGAAAATATCGAAATTAATCTTTCTGTCAACTATGAAATTGCTTAGATTCCCCATAAGTTCAATTTTGAAGTTATTTTCTCACATATCAGAAAAATTCATTGCTCTATTCTTAAAAATCCAATCTTTGATTTTAATTCCTGCGAAATTTTAGCCTATTATGTCAGTGTAGTTTGAGATATATAGGGCAAACTGAAAGAGCATTGAAATTTCTCTTCAGGAATAGTGAATCATATGTTTGAAAGGAGAAATAAATGAATTTAATAGGTAATCATTTTTTGATACTTGATCATAATTTTGACTTTTGATCTAAAAAAAATTATCTGTAGAGCTTCTTAAATAATGAGCTAGATTTCTTTCAACCCTTTCACATTAACACAAAATTTTCTTATTTAGTTAATGACATTAATTTTTCAATTCTTTCAAAATTCTAATATTCAAAATTCCTTTTTCGGGTTTCATTATTATTTTCCTCTACAGATCACATTACATTTAATTTTGCTTTGTTTCACTCATTTCTTCCCATATAAAATTGTATCTCTCCTCTGACTGCTGAAATTGACAATTTAAAAGTTGTTTAAGTGCCTAATAATTTTTTCCATAGCGGCCATATCTTGTTACATTTGAAACAGCAGAATAGCATATTTGTTGCCAATCTAGATAAACTAATCTTCGCAACAACAAAGATAACACCTTCTTTTATTGTTGCGAACTAAATCATGCTTAATCCATTCTGGATTTATTCAAGGAAATAATATTTAAGATTAATCATAATTTTAACATAGATATTTGGTTTTTATTTTTTGCTTTCTTTTGTGAAAAAGAACTGAATTAATGATAATATTGATTGTAGTGAAAACTTTCTTTTTGTTTGTTTGCTAATTCTTTTACACTGTTTAGATTATTATAGTTTGAATAGAAAATATGTGGCGTGATAGAATCTTCAATGATATAAATTTGGCATTCTGGCAAATCATAAGTGAGTGTGTATAGTATACCAGAGATATTAGGTTTAAGAGGATAGTATAATATAAACGAAAGAAGCTTTTAAGTGAACCTAGCGCCACAGAGTGTTGCTATGGTAACCACATTTTTATTGTGGTTTAGGCGCTATCGACGAAGTAGATTTAATTCAATCCAATAAGTTTAAATGAAATGCAAGAAAAAATGCATATAATTTAATATTTTGTACAAGCGGTCATCAGACACATGCGGTCATCAGATTTTTTCTAGTAAACGAGGGATAACGCTCGAATATTAAGATTATTTATGCAACATGTGTCAAATAATTTCCGGAAATGTGAATATGTTAAAGACATTACGAACAGTTCATAAACAAATTTTTGCATTTTACTAATTAAAACTCTGTGGAAGTACCTATTAATATGTTTTTAGTTATATTCAATTAGCTAAATTCCAATACTGTTTTGAAGGATATTTTTTTCTTATTGTTTAATGTTATCAAAATAACCATGGACAGACGTGATCATATTATGTATATATATGTATCATAGAAATTTTTAGTTTCACATTTTTTATGACATTCCTTCCCACCGAAAATAGTTCTTATTTCAAGGATATTTAATATTGATTTATTATTTTTATTTTCTTAACTTTCACTGTACTTTTGGGTATTTCTGTTCACAGAGGTTAAACACAAGCTTGGATTAACCTGTGCATCAGCATCTCAGTCTTCCTTTGTTGTCTTTTCCACCATACCCATGAATATTTCTGTTAAAAAATGGAGTCTGTTTTATCTTACCATTCATTTTCTCATTTCTACAGCCAAGATCTTATTGGTATCCTCATCTTTACATTTCAAGACCATACTATCATCAGTTTTACATTTCAAAATGCAATAGTAGGATTATTATGGAATTGACAACAAAGAAAATTTTATGGAAAATCTCTAATTCTCAAGAAAGAAGCAGAAGCTTTGGGAAAATCTCTGTATTTTTCTTAGTGATTTTCTTGTTACATTGGTATTTCAATGAACTTGACAGTTACCTTTTGTGGAGAGTCAAACAAAAGCAGTGTTTAATTTTGCATTTCCTAATTTGATTAATTTTGCATTTTGCACTTCATCTTGAAGCATATTTTATATTCTTTCATCTTGCCATAAATATTTTACACACATTGTTTTTCATAAGTGCTTTATGTAAGATTATTTTGTGAATGTTCTAACTTTTGAGATTGGTTTCATGAGATTTCATTTTACTTAACTATAGCATTGTTAAGTTGTTATAGTTTTGCATTATGTCCTTTTATTAATAATAATTAGTTTATATTAGAATGTATCTATACTAGTCATATTTTATCTGTTGCAGGATAAGTGTAGAAGGAAGAAATTTAATATTTTTTTAGTTATTAAAGCAGAATGATATAAGACAGAAAAGAATTATTAAAAATCAATGCAATAAATTTTCACTTTATAAGGATCTTGAAATTTTCCATAAAATTGAAAAATAATGTTAAGAAATTTAAAAAGAAAAGCATATATTCTTATTTCAAATAGTGATTAAATGAATTTTTTATATAAAAGTAAACTCTTATTATCTTTATGGTGTAAAATGCTGAAAAATATGAGTTCTGCATTTTGTAAGGATAAATGCATACTTGTATTTCAAAAGTATTTGGCTGATTGTTAAATATTTACTTATAGCAAGATCGTTCAATTGTGAATTTACATCTCATGCATACCAGTTATTTCATGTTTGTGATGGTCATGACTCTGGTTTGCTATTCTTTGATCAAAGGCAGATATCGACATCCAAAAAATTCTTTATCTCTTGAAAAGGTGAGTACTTTTAAAAATAGATAAATTCACATACATTTGTTTTGCGTATATATGAAAGTCAATATTTTTAACATTGAGTTACTATTTAAAATCAATTTTATATTTTCATATGTTGGAAGTGAACCTTAGATGATTTTTTTTTCATTCATTTAATCATAATGTAACATTTCAGAAAATTTCCAAAACAAATCAAGTTTACTATTTGACTAGAATTCAGAATGCTTTTGGAAGTTGTGATTAATGGCAAACTCTAAGAATCAGCTTTGCACTAAGGACATTTGAAAAATTAATTGAAGCTCATATGTTTTGTACAGTTGATAAGGGCTGAATGCAAATTCTTTCTAATCTTCTTGTCTGCCAATTTCCAAGACATAATAAAGTCTATGGATTTCACAAGCTAAGTGAAAACAACATGTGCACTGAAGTGAAGGGGAAAAAACATTAATCTATTGGTGGTGGGGGGATAGTAACTCAACACATAAAAAAAAGATTTCAGTCTTGTAAATACTGCATATGAATGCCTGAATTAGGACAGTACAGTTTTTGCTTTAACTGTTTAATATAAAATACAGTACAAAGTCCGTAATCCGGACTTGTCTGGACTTTGGCGATTCCGGATTAGGGTTTTTTCTGGATTATAGATCATCAATTAAAATCTGGTAAGGTGGCATGCAGAAATTATACAATTAAAAATATGAAACTGTAATTTATGAAATAAAGAGCAATTATGATCTAAAGGGTATCAAAATTTACAAAAAAAAAAAAAAAAAAAAAAAAAAAAAAAAGCTTAATATTTATTTGTTTACTTTATTAAACATTTCTTTCAATGTAATTGAGTATAAAATAAACCTTTAGATAGTGGCTGTTCATTAATATATGAATGACTAATTGAAGTAATTACTGTTACCTTTAAGGTTAAAAATAAAATATGTACATAAGGCAGAAACTAAACTATTTTTAAAAAAAATTGCTCTTCTTTATTAACTTAAAAATAACTGCTTTTTTTAAGTGTGATATTTAATTAAGTAATATTGTAAATCCTACATATATTTAAACAAAATATACTTCTTTATTGCATTATTTAAACCAATTAAGGGAATTTTATTTAAGGAAGCATTTAAGGGAAGTTCATACATCTTGCAAAAACATTTATGGTATTCTACCCCATGAAACATTTACTCTCCAAACTAGAATCATGCAATTACGATTTTTTAATTATCATTTCGACAAAATTCATAAATTAAATTAGATATATACAACGAGCCTTTTTTGGGATATAATATTTCTATCTTCCAAATGATTGCGATATTCTGACAAAAATTATGGTTCTGCTTTTGAATAAATAGTTCAATGAGGGCTAGAAATTCATCAAATTGATGAGGAGTCATGCAAAAGTAATGAAAAGAAATTTCGTTTCGTTCAAGTGCATTTCAATTAAATTATTTGCATCTCTTTGCTGCAGTCATCTCTCACATATTAATATAAACCACTGCATTCTGCTTCTCTGACACAATGCAGAAAGTAAAATAAGTTCTAATCAAACAGAAATTAAATCAATTTTAATTAAAAAATGTAATCATAAAAAGTCAAAATACCACACAAAAATTTCACATTTTCCTCCAAGTTTCTGATATGAAGCACCATCTAGAGCATATGACAACTTTTAAAGTGACAGTTCCACGCTGGTGTGAATCAACGTATGCGGAAAGCGTTTTTTTCTGCGTTACTGCTTTTCGCCCCAACAGACCAGTGTGAACGCAGCTTTATACATGAACAAAGTGTTACTGTATTAAGGGAAAGAAACATTTATCCAAGAAAAGCGAACTACGTTCTCTCTATCCATTGACAAAGGTGATCTCTTACAGGTGGGAGGATGTCTTCCAAAATTCATCTTTTAGCATTGAACATCAATCATCCTGCAATACTTCTTTCTCAAGATTCTGTAATACTTCCTCTCAAAATCAAATCCTGAGATTGATTACTGGAGCAGTTAAAACCATTCCAATCCAGGCTATGTTATTGCTTACCGATAATAAACCAACAGAAGAGATTATTCAGGAAAAGGCTGTGTGTCTTTATGAAAAATTAATTCGTCTTTCAGGTAACACCTACTGGAGAAATTATGACACAAACAAAAATATAAGATTAAAAACACAGACAGGTCCTATCCAGAGAATCCTGACCATAAAAGAAACTCGTCATCCTTCTTGCTGCTGAAATTTTTCCAAATCAATTAGACCCTCAGTGTGTTGTTTGTTTGGAGGGTGGAGTTCACTCGATCCAGCCTGTGCATAAGAAATTGACAAGTTGTTGAGAGCTATTACTCTGGAGACTATACACACCAATTATCCTGGTTAGGGCAGGTTGCATATGTCTACGGATGGATCACGCCTGTTTCAGAATTGAAATACAAGAGCTGGTGTCTTCTCTGACTTGTTTGCATTCTATTTGTCCATTGGTCCATGTACCACTCCGTTTGATGGAGAGGTGGAAGCCATTAAGTAAGCTTCTCAACAACTCCTTACTAGGTGTGAGAGTTTTGATAATGCTGTTATTTTGGCAGATTCTTATGTCTGCAATACAGGCTATTATCTATTTGAAACCTTTCAACTCGCAAAGTATTAAAGACTGTATATCTAATTTAAGTACATTACAAACCTTACATAAAAAAAGTTATTTTACAGTAGTTCACTGTGGAATATTTGGTAATGAAATTACTGACTTTTTAGCTAAAAAAGGAATTAAAATCTTACAGATTCCATCAAATCCTATCCTTTATCCTACTGTAATGGGAGTAATAAAAGAACACATGAATAATGACTTTTGATCCTGACAAGCAGAGCAAATCAAAACATTGGAGGGATTTTCTTTGAAAAATAACTGCTGCCCCAAGACAAATCACAGGTGCAGTTTTTTGGTTAGACTGGACATGATTGCCTTGTGGGTCATTTATTTAGATTTTGGCATCTTTTTTCCCTAACTGCATATTATGTGGGAGAGACACTGTTATAGATGCTTCTCATCTTAAGGAATGCCATAAAGTGACAGATACTGGCAGGCAAGAGAGAAACTTCAAGATCTTCAGACTGTTTGACATTTTCCTTCTCCCCAAATTATGTTCAAAATTTTACATTTTGTTCTTTTTCACGTGTTTGTGTTGAGTGTACTTGTCACACTCTAGTGAATGAATTGTATGTTCAAGTGCTACTACTAAAAATAAAAAATAAATACTTCCTTCTCAACATAACTTTAGAGAATTACTAGTGAAAGAACATCATATGTGATATTACATACCTTCATGCTGGTCCTTTTTTATCCCACTTCATCGAGTTTTACTACTAGATTAAGCAGAGGGAAAAGACTAATAAACAGTTGTGTCAACCACTGCTTAAGATGTCATCAATTTAAAACTCTTTCAACACTGCAATTGAAGGGTGACCTTTGCAATGACCTTTTTTCGCATGTGGTGTGGACTATGCTGGTTCTAATACCTTAAATTCAATAAGGTTCATGGTTGTTTGCTTGTCAACCAGAGTCTTGAAGAGTCCTCAAAGTAAACTTTCACCTTTCTATCAGGATTGAATCTGATAGGGTGGGAGTATGTTTACTTTTACGCTTCACATAATTAAACTACCTCTATTTCATTGCCCTGCATTGGGAACATGTTTTTGAAATTATCTTGTTTAGAATTCAGCCAAAAAACAAATTGCATTTTAAAAATAATGTATTATGATGATACTGTGTGTCACGAACGAAATTATACTGTGTGTCCATTATAATAAATAACTATATGAAATAAGCACTTCAACTGATCTAACTGGGCTGCTGTATTTTAATTTGAAACATCCTTATACATTTAAAAAAACAAAATCTGAAAGGTTTCAGATCTTAAATTACGTCCAAAGGGGCATTTGTTTAATGTTTTGTGTGTTACCTTTATTTATTAAATATCATGTTTTTCGCACTTAAACCATAAAATTAAGTTCAAGAGCAATAACGCAAAGTAATTTTAAATTGAGAATATCTTTAGAATTTTTGATACACAGTCTCACGCACTGGATATAAAAATGTTTTTTTCTGTGCAACATTGCCATTGCTCACTTTGAAATCCTCGAGTTTGTTAAACAAAAATTAGTTAAAGTTTTACAAAATATAAAATCGATAATAAAGCAAATTCCAAATTTGAAATTTGGGCTTCTAGTTGCACATATTCCCAGTAGTATTACATCATTCAAAATTGGATGGCTCTAGGTACCGTAGTTTTATCACAATACGAGAAACATATATACATTTATTCAGATTCTTCATTATTTAATTTCTTCAAATATAATATAGGGCAATAATATTTGGTGGCAACAGTTTGAAAAGTTATACAGCCTTTTAAAGTTTTCAATGCAAAATCACAAAATGAAAACATTGCTCAGGGACATAATAGTCCCTCAGGGACAAAGCCCCTTTGGACTAATTACTGAAAAATAATTTCATTTCTTTCATTCAACTTGCAATGTTTTAAATATCATCTTGTTTTGGCACAATCACAAAATCATTTTGTTTATTAGACTTTTGAAATGGAATACATGTCACTTTTTCTTCGGAAAATACTGATGATTTTACAATTCTAATTAATCAAAATAAATAAATAAATAAATAAATAAGTTTTCTTAATTTATGTATATTATGTGTATAAGAAGGTTGTTGTTTCAAATTAATATTTAGTGTTATAGTATTCTTCAAAAATAATAAATAATTTGGTGGTATGTGACTATAACTTTTTAATGTTTTGCAATCTTTTACCTGAATTCACTTTATTATCTGATTAAGCACCCCCCGAAAAAAAATTAATCAGAGCATCCCACTGTTTTAAAGTTCTTTTTATTGACTGTAAAACATAAAGACATCAAGCACTGCAATATTTCAAAATTTTATGAGCATTCTGTCCTAAAATTTCTTGAAGTTTGAAGTTTTCATTCGTTTCAAACTTTTTCAAAACAAAAATACCCATTTCTGTTACTCTCTGTAAAATTCATTATTTCTTTCCATAGCTCATAGTTATGAATGAATTTCCATAGAAACTACAGAAAATGTGTAACAGTTGGAGTTTATGCTAGTGAATAACAATTGCTGACAATAACTGCATTAACTTAAAAATAAATAAATAAATAAATAAATATAAATAAAAATAAAAATAAAAAAATTACACATCTGGAATTTCAACATGTGTCAATTGTACAACACTTTATTAATCATCTAATATGCATATTTCATGCACTAACCTATACACAGTTTAGTCATAGATGATTAACATAATTACACCACTGGACATCGATTGAAAACTTACATCAGCCAACATAGGTTATTTTCTTTTAACGTTGGTATTAGTAATAGGAAGCCAGGTCTCCATTCTGTGTTGTTATGGTAGTTACAGGCATCCTTCAAGATAAATGCCTGTTTGTTCTCATTATTCCCATAGCTTTTCAATCAGTTAACAAATGACTTTTGATGGAGTATATCCACATAATTATTATTTTACAGTGTACAGTACACTTCTGATTATCCGCAGAATTGGGTGGCGCGGCCGCCGCAGATAACAAAAATCGCGGATAATACGGAAAAAAGCTAAAAACGGGTGTAGCAAAAGAAAAAAACAGTCATTCTAACTTTGAAAACTCATTTTATATACAATAAAACGTAAAATAAACAGCAGAAAATGTTTAACTAACATTTAATATTTTATATATCACTCAAAACTAACCTAAAATGCATTTTGTTAATGAAAACAGAAAAGTACTTTGTATACTTACGAGAGGCGTCAAGGATACACAAAAAAAAAATTAATACATATGTACTGTTTTAATACTGTAATGTATTATGTAATTACAAAAGCATAATTATAAAACTACACCTTTTTGAAGAAATCAGTCATTAGTGTTTGCTTCTTCCTTTGGAAGCATTTTCTCTTGATCCGAGATTGAATATTTTGTAGCATAAGTTTCTCGGCCAATTCCGCGTTGTTTTGTTCTTCCAAATAGCTCAGCAATCCGTCGGCTTGTTGCAAAGCCGCTTCGTGCATCTTCCGCATCTGCACAGTGGGCTCTTCTTCGCTGTCTTTCATTCTCAGTCTCTCCCTTTGCTTTCTTCATAATTTTGTCATCTGTCAAGCGTTCTAAGCCAGGTTCATTGACGTCACACTCCAGCCATTCGTTAATGTTTTCAGCATCGACGTTCTCAAGACCCGGAACTGTTTTCACCATATCGGCAAGAGTTGCCATGGGCGTGTCAACATCCATTCTCTTCTTCACAACTCAAAGGGGTTAGGTTTGTTGTTGGCTTCAACATTAGGCATGAGTTTTCTCCATGATTTTATGAGGGTTGACGGTTTCACCGAGTCCCATGCAGATGCAATATTGTAGATGCTGTCCAAGATTGTGTAGTGTTTCCAAAACTCTTTCAGATCATAACCGTCTTCAATATTGGTTATTAGCAACTTGGTTCCATATGTCCTCTTCATTGTTGCAATGACTTGTTTTTGGTTAAAGTAATCAGTAATCAATGGGCAAATTTTCTGTCCTTGTGCCTTTGAAAGATATTTTTTTTTTTTTTTTTTTACTTTCCAATGACAACAAGTCTAAGTTTATGTCCCACAGGTAGCATTACTGCAATACATGATAGTTATCCTTTCCTTGTTGCTTTTATGACCCGCCGCTTTACATTCATTTTCAAATGCTAAAGTGCGAGTGGGAAGACATTTCTACAAAAGTCCCGATTCGTCGGCATTGTAAATTTGTTCAAAAGATAGCTCTTTTTTTTAAACAAATTCTTCAAATTCATGGTGGAAATCGTCGGCTGCTTGTTGGTCACCACTAAGTTTCTCCCCACGAAGTTCAATTTCTCGAATTGCATGTCGCTGCTTAAAATGAGTCAACCAGCCAGAAGATGCATCAAAATTTCCTTTCAGGCCTAAAAACTCGAGAAAGGTTTTTGCCTTCGCCGCAAAGATAGGACCATTTACAGGAGTATCCTCTTTTTTCGAACTTGAGCTAACCACTCTATCAATGCCGTGTCTAGCTCATCAAAGGTAGAACCCTTCATAGTTTTTCACGTTTTCATTGCGGAAGCACTGTCTGACATTGATGCAAAGTTCATCAGTTTATCTTTTTGCTTTAGAATGTCACACACTGTTGTTTCTGCGATTCTGTAATCCATCTGCTGCCTTGTAGTGCTGTTTGCTACTTTCGAAATTAATTCTAGTTTTTGTGCAATCGTCAACACAACCTTCTTTCGTTTTCTTTACATTTTATTTCGGTAACAAAAAACACAAAACCAAAGAGCACAAGCACTGAACACAATAAAAGATAAGAACTTAACTCGGACCGGTTCGCAAACACTATCAGGCTTAAACTAACAATGGCGAGTGGGAGGAAGTGGATGTGTCAGTAAGATTAAGATGAGAAAGGGCGGTGGAGTGGGCACTGCAAGGGTGAATAAGAAATCACTTACTCATCAGAGGGGCCGAGGGGAAGGTTCCGAGAAGGCCTGGGATATTTTTGCTATAAATAAGCACAATGTTAGCAAATTTAACATTTCGCTCAGTTTTGTGAACATTTTTATTTTCTTTGCTTTACGCTCGTAAAAAAAACTTTGTGCGGCAGATGCGGATAATCAGGAGTCTACTGTACATGAACACATTTTTCTGTTGAAAAATGTTTTCTATCTACCCCCATTTTTTTGTGAATTAATAAAAGTATTTTCTCCCTTTTCTTTCAGATTCCATTAGATGCTTAAAACAACGAAAACTGTAATAGAGATGTAAATATATTTATCTTGTAATAAGATTGATTTGTAAAATAAATATTTTAGTTAATTTTTACGTGCCTTATTCGTTAATATTAACATAAGTATGTTTTTTGAAGAGAGAGAGATTACTACAAAAAAGGGTACTGTCTGTAATTTAATTGTAAGAGTATTGCAGGAAAACATGAATCTGAAAATCTAAATAACTTTGCAAAAACTTTATTGATACTTTAAAATTACAGTTTATTAGAGAAAACAATTTACAATATTTTTCAACATAAAATAATTTCAATAACTTAGACTATTCACAGTTCATAAATAACATGAATGTAAAAGTTTCAAAAGGTAATGCCACAACATTTCATTTTGCACTTTTTACAGTTAGTTGCACTGAACTTGAAATTCAATTACAGTGTTATGTAATGGAGGCTGAAAAAATATTTTTTTCTATATACAAATCACAACAATATAAAAAAGTTTGGAATCACAGGTATTTCTTCTGTATATAAATGTTAAAAAATAAAATCACAGATATTTATATTTTCTGTACATATATATCACAAAATATATATGTTTAAGAATCATTTTTATTTATTTAAAAATTCTGCTTATTGAAGGTATAATTTATGTAGAATAAAGGAATACTTTTATAAAATTTTAAAAGATTATGATATTAAAAAAATATCTTAAATCTCAATATTTACAATATAAAATATTCATGATGAATTTCTCATATATGCTCACATTTTATTAAAACAAAATTAATTTCTAAAAATTTTCTGATTTCCCCCCCTTTTTAATAAGACTGTAAGTAAAGTCATAAAATGTTAATAAAGAGAATTCTTTAAATTGAGAATACTGCATATTTTTCATTTAAAAAATTGAAATAAATTCAAATAATGCACTGTTCTACATAGCTATGTACATTCTTAAAAACTTTATACAAATATAAATAATACAATATTTAGAGAGCACAGATTATAACATTCAAAATTTTGATAAAATATTTTACAAATTTAAAATTGCACATTGCTGGAATTCAAAAAATGTGAATTAAACAATATTTGAATATTTTTCTTGCTCAGATTAATGAAGAGTAATTGTTGATTCATTGAAGTTACCCTACATATCAATTCACATATATATATCAGATCATTCATACGTATTTCATAAGAAATTGAGTATTAAGGAAAAATCACAATCTATTATATACTTAAGGAAAAATCACAATCTTTCACTTCATATACATTTAGTAAACAGTGTATACATAATATGATTTTACGATGAAAAATATATGCTGTGTGCATTTTCATGGTGTAATATGCAAAAACAAAACAAAAGTGAAAATTTTTAAATGCACATAAGAAGAAATTTCATTAAATGCACATAAAAAGTGATTTTTCAATTAAGTATAAGATTCTGATTTCATAAAGTAAGAAGTGTATTTGTACAATAAATCTCTCAAAACAATAAAAAAAAAATATCAAATCTTCCCAAACTGAGTAACATAAAATAATTTAAGCAAGTTCTGCTACTAATTACAAAGATATACTAAACTAAATTCCACAAAGGAATTATTTTTTAATAATAATTCAATTAAAATTATTATTAAAAAGTAACAAGTATTAGTTCTTGCAAACAGATTCAAACACAGTAATTGGGACTAAACATTCTTTAGTATTAATAACTTACGTATCCTTTTAGCAAATCTCTCCTCCCAAAGGATCCTGCTTTATCATGCAATTCTAAAAAAATCTTATAAATGTTGATTTTCGTTCTTTCTAGGAGTACTTGGAAGACTTAAAAAACGTGTATATATATTATTCGTGTGTATGGGAAGAAGTTACATATAAAAATTACTTTTTTCAATAGTCTAAACTCAGGAACAGAGGCTATTTTTTTTTTCTTTTTCCTTCTCAGTAATCAGATGGCTTCTCAGAGAACCATTTGTTCTGATTTCTGAAATAGAGAAGTATGTGAAATCAAATTGTATAAAAATAGATTAAATGATAAATGTAACTTTTTTATTGATTACTATATACAAATCCATCAATGAACTGAGGGATTTCTGATGAAGAGAAGGAAAGCAAGTATTGCCACCTAGTATATCCTTGAAATGCATTCAGTAACAGTGGGGTATTTTGCTTGCATTGGGATGGTATTCTAGTAAAGCAAGTATAATTTTGTCGTCGTTCAAAAATATCAGATTCATGGAAATTGTCAAAAGCATTTGGCTAACGCAATAAAATGGTAGGTAAGAAAACTATGATGAGATAAGGTCTGCTGTGAAACAAAAGTGGTAAGATGTACTTTCCAGTATTAATTTTGGATTATGCATTAACAGTAGACTAGAGGGATTAGGCTAGTTCCCTAACATTTTAGGCATTAACATTTTTAAGTATGTTTTTACATAACTCTAAAAAATATTAAAGGAGACATTACTTTACGTCTTTTGAAACTCTGTACCATTTGAGTATAGACAGGTTTTTGCACAAATGGTTAGGAGTTTGGCGAGTTGTCTCTTCTTTACATGGGAAAGAACAAACTGGTTTCCATAGCTGTCCCCATAGTTACTTCAGATATGCTCTTGACTATTGGCAGTAGGTCATAAAAATTTTTAATTCTCTATTTTAGTTTGTCTTTAGGAAAGCTTTCTTACAATATATGAAATAATTTGAAGTAAAAAATATTGAGGCATTAATTCCAGTTTTAAACTGTGGAGAGGGAAGTAGAATGGAAAGCTAGTATTTACCCAAGAATGCATAACAGAGCACATGTACGCAACATCTAATCTTGTTTGATGATAAAAAATCATCATCAATCATATCACTATTATGATAGTGATAGTAAAAAAAAAAAAACACTTACTATCAATATCATAATTCTATGGTTATATTAATTTGTCTACTATATTTTTGTGGATAATATATTTTTAAAAGAAAAAAAAATTGCAAAAGGTAGATTTATTTCATATGTTCTCATTTGTACAAATATGAAACAGGTGCCCATTTGAGTAGTGATTATTAACTAATGAGTATTGATCATTCTCAGAAAACACTATGCAATACTAAACATATGGATTCCAACATCCGTCCATTATGCAACACGTGCAATGACTAATTTCCATATATCATGTGCTAATCTATGTACAGAATTCCAATTTTGAGAAGCAGTCCACCTTCCTATGTAAGTATAATATATGATTTTGTTCGAATCATATTATAAATCATGAAATTCAGTGGAAGATTCTATATTATTCAACTTCATGGTTGTTCAAATCAAGAATATAAACAAAATAGAGAAAAATCATATTATACTGTATAGTAATCATACAGAACTAAAGATTAAGCTTTAATATGTGTCTTGATAAAAGAAATTGGCTCATATTTACATTTTAATAGGGGGGAATCATTGTTTTACACATACACTGGTGTGCAAAACTTAAGCAACAAATTCATTTATCAACACACAGCCATGATATTGAAAAGGACTTTCTGCGATCAGTATGATGAAACTTAGTAGAAAGGTGATCCATATTATTGCATACATTGAGTTTGTAATAGGTTGAATGCACATAGAACCGATGATAGCTTGATAAAATTTATTTTACCAAAAGAAACACTCTACAGTTATGAAACTTTCCGTAAAAACACTCGTACTGCTCTCCTCAGGATCACATAGTATAATCAGTAGTAACAGTTCAATCTACAGATATCTCTCAATAATTCCACATTACATTGGACTAAACAACTGAGAAACTGACACTCTCTTCGGCCTTATATAGTTTTCTCTAGGCACTGAGAAATCTCTAGTATCTTCCACTTCTCAAAATTACTGGAAGGCATATGATAGCTGGATATAGTTACATGTAGGGATCAATAACATCTATTCAATTACAATACCAATTATAGTTATAAAGAGAATGGACCAAAATGCTTGGCAACTTTTAGTGATTTTTTTGCCAAAATCATAGCTAGTTTGGCGTATCTCGCCAATTTAACAAGATAGCCATTTGCCATGCAAATATTATCACGTCCACATTTCATCATTATGTATTCTGCTACAACTTGTCCCTTTAGAATATTGTATCTCGGTATATGTATAACTATTATGCTTCATTTTGTGCATGCAAATAATATAATGCGCAGAATTGAATTGTCTGAACATACTGCCTCCCTCTTTTCCTGTAAGACTTCTTACCATAAATTGGCTGAAAACTTTCCCTTGTTTAGATGTACATATTTGGTTTGTATCTCAAGGAGAGACCTGGCAGATATGGCATAAGCTTAAAGTTATTTAGGTATGGGCTATTATTAATTATGGAGCTTTTGACTGAAAAGCTAAATAAATCCAGTGGATGGCTGCCCCATTATTAGTGGAAAAGTAAAAGATAATCTGGTGCAGTATTGAAAGATGATGCAATGCAACCATTGCATTACTAAGGCTCTTTGGTTTGTTGTTCTCACCCTTGGCCAGACAGTTTTACCACTGCCATTTCTGTCAATAATCCTTTTATTTTGATTTGTTCCTTACTGTATATGTTCTATTTTATTTTATTTATTTATTATTATTTTTTTTTTTTTTGGGGGGGGCTACTATACTTTTCTTATCCTTTAAGTATTACATTGTGCCTCTGCAGTATGAATTTCATGTCTCCCAGTTGATTTTTTGTGGAATTCTGGCCAAAATTAGAAAAGTTGTTAAATTTTTGCACACTAGTGTATATAGTAAACAATAAGAAAATAGTTTTCACATACAATTTAGCACCTAAAGTTGTAATTCTAGAATACATGTTTTAGGCTTTGCTTCATTGATATTCATTAACAGAATGCCAAATAATGCAGTCTAATTTTACCATATAACCTTTAAGAGTTCTTACATAAAATGCTCTTAATTCAGACTGCAAACAACATCTAAAGACAGTTTTCCTCGCATCTAAATACCGCTTAAAGATGCCTTATGCTAACTGCTCACTGGTTGTGAACATTACTGTAAGACATTCTTCTTTATCATACAAAATGCTTCTAAAAATAACTTGCATTTTTAACGTCAAAAACTAGGACAGAATCTCCAATGATGGAATAAATATATGCAATTAAAAAAAAAAAAAACGTGCAAATTGAAAGAATGAATCCCCCTTTTTTCATTGATATTCACATTCTCCCATTTCATACATGCATAATTTGTGTGTTTCATAAAAACAGCTTTATTGTAAAAATTTTGCAGGGAAACGACACAGGATTTATTTTTGTATTGCACACAAAATTATTTAATTTTTACTCATCAATTTTAGTTTTACTTAGATATTAATAAAAATGAGTATACTTAAAAATGCTTTTATCCTGTAAATTTTTAGATATTACTATGATGCTTTGTTAACTTGTAAACACATAAGCTCAACTGTTAGTACACACCGAGAATAAATGTTCCCCTCCAAGTTAAATGCAAGTTATATGAATAGCAACAGATTATGTTACATAAAGGGGAGAGGTTTGAGACAGAAAATAATTATAAATTTTTTGCAAATTGATGTCAATCAAACTGGTTCTCCAGCACTACATCTCTTTCATAAAAGGTAGATAAGAAAGTGACAGGCAATGGATAGCTTGTTTACTGGAATTTTTTTCAAGCTAGGGGTAGTTTTTATCCTAAAGCATGTGCCTAGAAGTTATTTAATTTAAATATCTTGTACTTTTTAAAAAAGTTTGCGTACTTTCTGTACATTCATATCCAGAAGAGTCTTTAAGAAATGTCAAATATATGCTCAGTCACAAAAACTATATGCACCTAGAAGAAATCAAGCCACAATCACAAAACTCGGCAGGGATCTAATCTGGTAAGAGATATGCAAATGATTTAAATTTCAACACCATTGAGACAAGGGTAAATGTACTATGAAAATATGAGATGCTCAGCTGGGAGAGTTTAAAAGCATGATTACTCTTGCTGTTGAGCTATTCAAATGAATCTGTCGACTTAAATGGGAAGTACTGTGTCTAAAGATGCCTCTGAGACATAACTGACAGCAGTACAAACAGTTGTAAGTCTTTGAGAAAGTAGGCCTGTAGAGAAGCAGGTTGGCTGCCACCTCAATCAGACGTATATGATAGTTGCATGGTGTTGGCGACAATGGATTACGGAAGGAACAGGCTACCGTCATGTATAGTCAGGCCACCCCAGGAACATAAATGAGTGCAAGGATTATCCAATTATAAGAGCAGCAACTTCGGAGAAGACTGGCCGATGTTCGTATATGCTGCCAACATCCATTAAGATGTGCACCACTGACCCCACACCATAGGCAGTGTCGATTGGATTTTTGCTGAATTCGGGCTAGCTGGAGTGTGACGGACTGGAGGCATGTGATCTTCAGTGAAGAATCCCAATTCAGTCTCAGTGCTTCTGACCAATACACACACATGTGGAAGCTGCCAGGCCAACGATCTAATTCAGCATTTGTTGTCAAGCAGCATTCCGCAATTACACAAGGTTTGACAGTGTGGAGAGCAATTTGTTGGGACACTTGGTCAACTCTAGTTGTCCTTCAAGGCACTATGACTGCTCACAGTTATGTGGACGATATTTTAATGCTGGTTGTAGTGCCCATGCTATCAAGTCACCCAGGTGCCATTTATCAGCAAGGCAACACTCATATGCATACTGCACAATAGGATATGACATACTCTAATGGGCTGCCAAGTCACCAGACCTCTCGCCAATACAGCACATTTGGGATATGCTTGGAAGGCAACTGCAACCAACCTGGAATGTTGGTGAATTAACTGCCCAGTTGCCAAGATTATGGCATGATCTTCTGCAGGGGGTCATAGATGACCTACTTCATTAAATGCCACGCCTTGTTTTGTCTTGTATATCTGCCAGAGGTGACTATATTACTTATTGATTTGTAATCATCTGTTTATCACCTCATGCACTACATACATGTTAAGTTTCGTGATAGTAGTTTGTTTCCTTCTAGATGCATGAAATGTAGAATCTCATACATTATTTGTATTGTGCAGCCGGGGCAACAGGAATGAGACAAATTTTGAAATATAAAGTGATACATTTATTTTAGGATCCATCTCACAAGTGTTCCTCCTGTACCTCGAGGAGAGGCCCTATTTATAGATATGTGTGCGTCATGGTGCTCATCTAATCAGCGATATTAATTGAAATCACGAGGTGATGCTAACTTCTCATCAGGAGTGTTCTTAAGGACTTTATGTAATGTGACAGATTTATGAGTTTGGCGATTTAGCGGGTGGCAACAGGTTAATATAATTTATAACAAAGAAAGGATTTCACCAAAATTTAGGAACAGGGATGCAATTTAGGTAGAAAACTGCCAACACATTATTAAGCAATATGATTAGAATTTAATTTAATCAATTGATTTAAAAATATCATTACATGCATATATATTTTTGTGAGTTCAAGATTTTGTACAAGTTCTCCATTAGGATCAATTACTTTACAAGTTTTTAAAAGTTATGATCTTTTAATTTTCGTGCCACAATTTATGATAAGGGTTTAAGTTAAAATTAGTACAACTAATCTTGCTCTGGACATATACGTATACATTAAATGTCAGATATTTTTAAGAAAAGAACTTACCATTTTTCATTAATGTTAGTATGGTTAGAAGACCTGTATTAGTATGAAAGAAAATTCTATGTGTTAATTAAAAGGAATACATATGAATTCAAATCATGCATGCAGACAAAGGAAATTAAGCACAAACATTTATGCATCATAGAACGCATAAAACAGAACATTTTTTAGAATTTTTACATACATACATAATACAGTTACATAAAATGAACAAAACTAAAATTTAAGGTACATGCACATAACAAAGTTTTTCACTTCAGGGAAATAATTTTTTTTTCCTTCTTTTAATTTCAGAAGTAAACAGTAATAAGTCAGTAAATAGTTTTTGTCCCTAACAGATTAACTACAATAAATTAATTAAAAAACTTAAATTTCTGGCATCTAAAAATATGATGGGCTTTTCTCAATACATTAGCTATGTAATTATTAGGAATTATGGCAACTGAATAAAAAGTTTCTGTAAGGGGGGGGGAGAAGAAGAAAAGAAAAAAAATCATTACAGAGATATTTTATTTTTCAACATAATCAAAGTTTATTATACTTAGCGAAATGTTTTTCCTACTTTTCAGTTTCCTCTTAGAAGTGACTTTCTATAGGATCCTTAAAATAATCATTTACATCAGTCACTACTTCATTTAATTATTTCACTACCAAATTATTTTTTAACAGATTTTAATTTTTTGCGAGTATTGTACAATATTTCTAATTTTATGTACAGTATAAAGTCCGAGATCCGGACTCGTCAGGACTTCGGTGATTCCGGATTTGGGATTTTTCCGGATATTAGATCATCAATTTAAATCTAGTAAGATGGCAATCAGAAATTATACAATTAAAATATGAAATTGTAATTTATGAAATAAACAGCATTTATGATCAAAACGGTATCAAAGTTTACACACACAAAAAGAGCTTAATATATATTTGTTTACTTTATTAAACATTTCTTTCAATGTAAGTTGTTTAAGTTTCTTTGTTTTTTGTGCTAGCACTTTCTCTTTAATTCTATAAACAGACATAATTTCTTGTTCAGTTACAAAGTTCTACTGTTCAAGTCCCGTAATTGCTGTGTCCAGAGCTTGAATTGCGCCAGTGCCCGGGTCCGGTATCTTAGTTTTTGGGATAAATCACAATTCTAGCCGGATCGCACTGGAGCCCTAAATCAGAAGGCTCTGGCACTTCTTTTATGTAACTAAACAACAATTTCAGTAGAAAATTGTGAAAATTTTATTTTTTGCATATATTAAAAATCGCTTATTAAATTTTAATTTATCTCTTTACATTTTAATTATTTAATTACTTTAATCTTTAATTATTTCACTATTTTAATAATAATAATTAATTTCATTTAATTAAATAATAATTAATTTCGTAAAAACTAACTATTTAATTTTTAAATTATTAATGATTTTAATAGTCATTTTATTTATTTATTTTTGTGCCTCTCTGCTAACAGTCTTCCATAGGGCTCAGGCATTTCTAATTTTAGAAATTACACCTTGGCTGTGTTGAGAATACTGACTAACTTGTCAATAGAGATAAATTTTCAATAACCTCTATGTCACTTTCTTCACTATTGGTAACGGTATTTTCTGGATCTAGAACCATATTACTGATTTTGCCATCCGTTAACTGTTTAATGATTGGGGCATTGTCATCGCAATGAAAAACTTCTGTTCTATCATCTTCATTTATTACCGCTTCTTCACATTTCTTTACAAAATCCATTAACTGGAAAATTTCACCTTTAGTTTGCAATATCTGAAAACCTTCAAATTCGCAGCTATCATCTTCATCGTCCTCACCATGAAATATGGTAGCTGGCCATAAATTATGCCAAGCATTTTTTAATGTATCTGGAGACCCCCCCCCCCCCCATGATCTTGCGATGCTCCACACAGCAGATTTTATGCTAAAATATTTCAAAAATTCTTGAATGATCTTGACATTGTTCAAGAAATTTAACATGGATTTTAAAAATGCTACTTTATATTTGCATTTCAGTTCACGCACTATTCATAGGCTGAATGACGGACATACAATTTGGAGGGAAGACTAATATGGATATATTATCTTCCACTAAAACTTCAACTGAAATGCCTTAGAATCAGTAAAGATTATTTTAGACTAGCATAATGGCATCCGCTATACATTATTGGCTATGTATCATAAGACTGGTGATGAAAGACAAGTTGTCTGTTAAATTTTGTCTTTCTCCTATTGTGTTCTAAATTAAGCCTGAATTGTATTAGCTTAGTTATTTACTATACCCCCATGATCTTGCGATGCTACATCTATTTCTCTGATCTATATCTGATCTACATCTATTTATTGCACATGCTTAAAACTAATATGAGTTCTGAATAAATAAACCCCCACATATACTTAAGGCTTTATCTAGACGGCGCCTAGATACCACAAGGTACAGTCTCTGCGGTTCCTGAATTCTGGTACAAAGCACCTTCCTAAGTTCTAAATTTTCGCAGTGCCTAAACTTTAGGATCCCAGCGCTTTCCCTAAATTATTAAAAAACTTCTCATCCCTTAATTTTGCCACTCGGTGCTTCCCCAAATTCCAAAAATTTTGTCTTCCCTAAATTCTGCCATCCGGTGCAGCCATATTCTGCCGCCGATTGTGGGTTTATAGTGAATAACATATCAGTTATTCTTAATTAAAAAAGCACTAAATGTAATCTTTTAGCCTATGAGTTTCGTTAACAAAATCTATTTTTAGCATATGAAAAGAAATTTTTGTTGAATTTTTCCTCATCAACATTTCTTAGAGCATTTAAAAATCTATAATCATCACCAATCGTAATGTTAGCTTAAAAAGGTTCCATTCTTGTTATTCAATTATTAATATAAAAAAAAAGTTTAGACATCGCTGTATGAGTCATTACTGAAGCTGTCATGAATTGATAAATATGCGATAAACTTTGAAGGTCCAGATTTTAGATCATTCCAGATATTGGACGTCCACTTCTTGGACTTTGTATTGTAGTATACATTTAACAAAATCTGATTTTAAAAAATATTTCCCCCTTTTTTTTAATTTAAGGGTGCTGGGGCATATACTGTAGATTTAAGCTAATGTTATCTCATTAGGTATTTTTAAATGCTCACTTAACATACATCACTCACCGGCAGTGTAAAGATTAACAAAAAATTCTTTCCAGCCAGGGTTGTTATGAACTTTGCGATTGGTTTATTTGATTATGGCAGAACACTTGAGGGTTATTTTCCAAATGGGAGGAATGCCTTCGTAGAGGACTTTCTTAGGGAAACTGCTCATATACACATTACACATGGGGAAATCACGAAAACGCCCATGCAGCCAGCCTGCTATAGGATTTGAACCTCAGACGGAGCTACTAGAATTTACTGCTTGGCCACTGGTGGGCCCACTAAACTGTGAACAGATGGAAGCTAAAAAGAGCCAGATCAGTTGAATGTAACAGATATGGAAGGATTTTGAGCTTCACTGTGTTCAGTTTTTGCTGTGCAGCTGCATTTTAATGACTGAAAGCATTATTGCAGTGAAACAACACTTTCTTTTAGACCACGCCCGAATGCTATTCTAAAATTGTTGCTTTCAGCTTATCCAGAAGTATTAAAGATCGGGTAGTAACATTCCTCTCACCTTCTTATGTAATCAATAAGCACAATTCTTTTGGTATTCCAAAAAACCAATACATCAACTTTCTAGCCAAGAGAATGATTTTTATTTTCTTTAAAAATAACTCACAGTCTGCTGTTATGATAGCAATTTTGTTTTGAATTCTTCATGAAAACTTATATTCAACTGAGATTTGAATTCAAGAGTTTTTGCTCAGGGCTGACTAGAACAAAAACATTCTTTAGTTCATACTAACTGTTTTCATCACAGAACTGACCCACACTGCAGAAAATGTTTTAAATTTAATTCTTTATATAAAATGTGAACTATTCATTTATGCTTTTATTTGCCCATTTTCACAAAGCATATTACAGATTTTATCCACAACTTCTGATGTTGTAGCTGTTTTTGAACATCTTGCATGTGGTTTAACAGATGTGAGAATTCAGCTATGCATAAATTTCAAAATCCGAAAACTCACTATAGAAAATGAAATCAATCAATTTCTCAAAAGCGGCATTCAACCTGGATTTGATTTCAATTTCAATTTTCCCTTCAAAATGAATTAAACTAATGACCATTAAAACTTCACTTTTATACACCTTAAATGCAAAGTTGTTTGATTTAAATGAATTTAAAATTAAATGATCTGACATTCTGATTTAAAATTTGCTTTCAATTATATGAAAGTATTACCCACAAAATGATGTAAAACTTATTTTGGGTGGGGGTGGGGGAAGAGAACAGTATCTAGCAATTCCAGAAACTTTAGAATTCTACCCTTATAATATTTTTCTTTAATGTAAAGTTCTGATTAAGAACTCAAGTCTTTGGAGAAGATTAATAATAAAAAATAAGTAATACATATATAGGATTATCTATTTATGATATGCGTAAATTAAATGCAAAATAGAATTTTAGCAAATTTTTAAAAGAATACATTGCACGCACACAAAGAAGGAAAGATTACATTTAGCATGTTTTCTCCTGGGAAGCACAAGGACAACAGAGCATAAGATGTGGCAGATAAGTAATAAGATTGCTGCTGAAAAACTCCATAATGGGAAACAGACCAGTAACTATTTTTTTTTTTTTTTTTTTTTTGTCCCAGTGCAGTCTCTGAGACTCATAAATGCTATCACTTTATACCTTTCTATTTTCTAAAAATATTGTTACCCCCTAAATTATGCATCACTGTTAGACTGCAACAGTTAAAACAACTTTGGTATTCATCACAAAAATACATGTATAATCTTGATTGCTTGATAATGCTACTGCCAAAGGTTTAATACCTACTGAATTTTAAAAACCAATAGCTAACATGGTGACTGCTGATATACATAAGGATAATTTGCATAAGCAGGCCAGAATAATTATATTGGTAAAGGAAAAGTAAACATTACTTACTACATTATCAGTAAATATGTATTTTCAAATCTGGAATTTTTATTATTTGGTTCACGTATATGCTAGACCACATATTGGCAACCTTTTAACCTTTTTTTCTTTTGCAGGTGAAAATCAACTATAATGTGTGTATTCAGATGATGTTTTGAATCAGCAATATTTTTATTTTAGAACAGTCTTTCTTGGTGAATAATAAAATTAATTTTATTGAGAAAATAATTAAAATATGCTTTAAACATAAAAATTAAAATTAAAATTTTAAATTATCATAAAAACAAATGCAACTATATGAACTTTCATAATTGACACCAACTGGACCCAGACTAGATCTATGTGTTTGCAACAAAGTTCTCTTTAGCTCAAGCATGTTAAAATCCCCATTATAAGACTCAAATGGAAGGGTTGAACCAGGGAGCCTAACAAGGAAACACAGATTCCTGTGTTAGGGCTAGCTAGACGAATATGCAAATTGAAGCCCTCAGCTAGTTTTCCCAAAAGTGGGTACTCCTGAAAACTTATTGCCTAGCTGCCAAAACTAAAAATGGGAAACCAGCCAATTGACACCAATGAGGACGACTAAATGCCTCCTGTTTAGCTGAAGCAGAGGATAAAGCATGTGTTAGGGACAGTACCTTGCTCCTCAAATAACAGAAACCTTTTTTCTAACAACGCAGGTTTCCATGCACGGCAAATGCGAGCAGTTTTCTAGCCACTCCAAAACTTAAGACAAGAGCTGTAACAGCTTCTGATGACAAGCCCCAACCTCCAAAGATGAAAACCACAAGGGAAGGGAAAAATTATAGCAAAAAGGAGGGAAGACATAGAAGAGAGTGGATGCTTGAGGCTCCAGGATTGTGGTACTCGTTTCATCAAGATGATCCTCTGAAGGTCCAGCAAATCGTAATAAAAGGAATTAATCTTAGCAAAACAATTCAAATAAAATTATCAATTTAATGGGAAATAAAATTCAAAACAAAACAAAACAAAAAAAAAAAAAAAAAAAAAAAAAAAAAAAAAAAAAAACAGATTGAATAAAATTTGGAAAATATTTTGCTATAATTCTTAATTGTACTCCAGATATCAGTCATCAAGAACAAATGTCTCTTACTGTCAGATATGTCTTAGTTGATACACACTGTCACGCTCAATTGTCAATGCTAATGAGCAATTCATTAAATTTATCCGTATTGATGACAGTTCTAAACAAAGTTTATATCATGTTTTGAAATGAGAAAATAAATCTTTAGGACTGGATATCAATGATGTGTAAGAGGACAAGGTTATAAGAATGGGTGATCCAATATGAAGGGAAAGGATTCTATAGTTCAGGCAAGTCTCTTAAAATTCTTGAGCATATTTTTCAAATATGTGCATAACAGAACTATAATTTAGTTTTCAAAAACATATCTAAAATATGACCTATGGATATTTTTTGGTATATTTCAATATCTTTATGTTATATTTTCACCATTTAAAAAAAGATGTGAAGTACACTTGAAACATATGCATCTTACCATCAAACCTCCTTGTGATACAAGGTAGAAATGTCATATTCAGTGTTAAAGCAGTAAAATACCACCTAGGTAAATTCTACGATGTGCTTGTTGAAATATCAGTAAACTCTACATATTCACAAATTAAAAGGGAAGCAGAACCTCTTGAAAATTCAATTACAGATTATAAATTCATACTTTTTTGACATGATTATGAATATCAACATCATAAGCAAAGAACTTCAAATTTCTTCAGCAGACATTTTCATGGCTCTTTCATCTTAAGAATGTTTTTATGTTGGTTCATGCAATGCAAAAATATTGGACTCAAAAATGTTTTCAGCAATGAAGAAAAATTTGTAAAAAATTTGGAAATTATTCCACTATTATTATTATGGAAATTATTCCACTATTATCCAGTAAAAAACTCCAAGAAAGAAACAGGCACTTTAATTATGAAACAGATGATGAACTAATGACAATCCAGTAGAATAATTTAATATACATTTTTAAAATCTGAAACTGGATAAGGCAACAGAGTTGCCAAAAATTAGAGCAATTAAAAAGTCACTCACTTATTTGGTTTTTTAACAAGATTTAATCAAATGAATAAAGTGCAACTAAAAATAAATAAATAAATAAAGTGGCTAATTTTGAAATAACTGTGATGATAATTAAATTAAAAAAAGGAGGTAGAGTTCAGTACGTCAAGGAGTCAGACTTAGATGGTTATATATTGGCAGAAGAAATAGAGACAATAAAATAAACAATTCTGATGCACTGTGAAACAGCTTTGAAAATATTTAAATTTTTGAGTGAAAACAAAAGATCTACAATTTATTTATTGCTCTTGTGTGTTAACAATACCAGTAAATGTTGCATCAGGTGAGCGATCATTTTCGAGACTGAAACACTTCAGGTATTTCAGGTCAACAACAACCTAAGACAGGTTAAATAACTTGGCTATAATTTTAATTGAATGACAGGAATATCGTAATTTAGATTTAAATCATATTATAGAAGAATTCATTGAAAAAAAAATGAGAAAATAGTAATAAAATAAAAAAATTGGTAATCATGTAATAAAAACAAATTGTTTGAAATTTTTTGTTTTCTTATTTAACTGGGGGGCCCCGTGAAAAGGATCCAGTTGGGCCCTGCTATGGCTGAAACTGGCTCTGCACTTAGGATACCCAAAAATGCTGCACCCAAGGTTGGCTATGATAATTGAACCAAAAAAGTTATGGGAAAAAGTGATGATTCATAATGTTTTACAGCACAGATTGATGACTTTAAAATTTTTACAGAGATAACTTAAAACCATGAAAAATCAAACTAAAATTTTCAAAATTCATTACGAATTTATAAATGCAAACAAGTATTTTAAATTCAAAGTACATGAAAATAAACAATATACAAGGGAATTTCTATAAGTCAACCTGAAATTCAAAATGTTAAATTTTCTTGATAAGCCAAATTCTTGACTACTTGAAATTTATTTATCTGCTCTCTATAGTTTTATATGACTGAAGTTTATTATACTTTTAACTAGATATTTTTCTTATACCTCTCTTTATATATTAATTATTTTTATTATAAAATTATACTAAGCAACTTAAAAACATATAACACAACAAAAATATTGTTTGCTTTTCTACTTACCTACGACCATTTCGCCAAGCATAAGTATTGTAAATTTCATCTTCAGAAGTACTATCATCATAATACTCAGAAGTTTTCAGCAGTCCTATTTTAGAACCTAATTTTAAGACATCATTTTCTTCATCATCAAATAAACACTGTCCTTGATCAAGTTTATGGAAGGCATAACCTCGACGCTTTTTGTATAGTATGGTACTGTAAATACACATTATGGCCACCAACAAAAATAAACCAACAGAACCTGGAAATTAATAATACTAGAATTAAAACAAATTTGAGACCACAGCATATCAAATACCTCTTAATAAATTCTTATGTAGTTCCTCCATAGTCTCTCATAATTTCATATAATAAATTAGGCACAGATTAACTTATTCAGAACATCAAATGGAATTATGTTCAAATTAACACTGATATATTTCACATTATGTTTAACATTTTTACGTAAAAAAAATAGAAACTTTGATCTTCATGCATATTTTTACTACATGAATTTTAAGAAACATAAATATGTAGTTTTCTTCTTGAAACAATTTATTTGAGTACATAAAACATATTTAATAATATACTTAATTAATTTCATAAAATTAAAATTTTTGGATAAATATGATCACTCCAATCATCAATTTTATAGTGCTACCAAAATTTTAGTGTACAGAATTTGTAGGCTAAATCAATTTACAAAACTGAAAATGTGTTCTAAATTACATGGTGTTACACTAAATAATCTACCCCAAAGTATCAATATAATTTATACTAAAGTCAGCTAATGGCTGCATCATGGTTACTACGTTACAGCCATTAGCTGACACCTTCTTGGCTTGTTTACATTCTGATTAATGATGTTTATATGCAAATTATTCAACATTGAAGGTTTGTAAGTCTTCCACTCTTATTTTAATACTTAATCTAAATAATTTTCTACTTAATATTTAGAAAACAAAATGCTACACAGGAGCCATAATAAGTCATGACATCACATCATTAACTTCAGTTTTGCAGCATCTTGCTTACTCCATTTATTCAACCTTCTTGTATATAACACACACTGTTTGCAACATAAGTGCACTTCAAAATTTGCTTCACTTAACTAGACTTGTAACATATTAACTGACATAGTTCACAATTTCATTCCTGTAATTTTTAAGATATATCACGATATGCTATTGAATACTGAAAGTATATAATCAGCAATGCATGACTAATTACTCTTTGACAATTTTAGATAGATGTTTACATTATTTCTAGCAAGTTATCCTGCAGACAAGTGAATAATTTTTCAATATAAAAATATCCAAACAGAAGAATACAAGAACCACTAAAAGTAGACTGAAAATAATTTCTTCCTTAGTTACAACTCTGCAGCTGGAAGTCAAAATATAATTGTAATAATTGATACTTACATAAGAAAAAAAGTTTTCAGTGCACCCCTCTATTCAAAATGTTCCCAGAAAAATTATGTCATATGTGTCAAACGTACACTACCTTAAATTGACTATTACAGTGTATTAGCGTAATAACTACGGAAGTTAAGTAACATTAAGTGACATCAGCCATTATGAAATGATTTGTGTTGTAGTGCAAACAGAATTACAACAACATTTTAACTATTCAATGCAAACCACACTTTGAGCAAAGGGTATTGTAACAAAAAAGAAGAAGAGGGAAAAATTAGGAAAAATAATTTTGTAATGCCAGAATCATCTTATTTGTCAGATTTCTCATCCTCTGATTTCACTTTCTCTCTTTTTAGGGCAGCTGTACAGGGCTAACATTTCTAGATAATTTAAACTATCAAAAAATTAAATTGCCACACTATGACAGATATCAGAAGATGCATTTTTTCAGTGCTTCCAGAAATGTCAGAAGTACTTAAGTGGACATTACACTTGTAAGGTTTATCCTACATTTTTCACAGTTATTTTAAGTTAAAGCTCCTTTACTATCCTTCCTAATTTCAGCTTACAATTTCCTACCAGAATGTGTTTTTAGAATCTCGTTTAATGCAAATGAATAAGAGTGGTATTTAAGTCAAAGTTTTACTGATTTCGAGAGAAAGTCTCACAGTTTCTGACTAGCCTGCGCTTGCCTTTTGGCCACATCTCTCTAAGCTGTTACTACACTCGGCCGTATTACAGGTCCTTGATAGCTTCACCAGCTGATTTGATATTTAGGGGTCAACTACTTAGAGCTTCAATAGCTTCAGCTACATCTCTAGTTAAGTATTAGTTAGGTCTTATTTCTTATTATTTTGAGTTGAAGCCCAAGTGCAGGCTTTGCTGGACGCCCTGAGAAAGGTGCTAACTGTTCATTCTTATTTTGAGCAATAAAAGGTAATTAACCCTTCTCGAGTTTACGCTTCTCTTACTGAACTAAAGCATTTATTTAGCTGTTCACTAGGTTCTTCTACATTTAGTTGTTAGATAAAAGGGTGGAACCCCATACACTGATGGTGATTGTGTAGTAATTATTTACATTTCAAGCAGAATTGCTCATAAGCATTTTCTGCAAACTTTTTTTTTTTTTATTAAATTAAGCAAATTATTACTTCTTTAGCAGTATAATGCACTATTTGATTCTAAAGTAAAACCAATAAATAGAGAGACAAAGAAATGATTCCATACCAAAAATGATGAACAGTGAATGACGAGGTATGCCTGCAATTCGTGCATCTTCCTTTAATCTGAAGTCGACTTGTGTAGCTTCTCCTGGATAAACCCGTACAATCTATTTGAGATATTAAAAGATAACCATTCTTGTGAAAAAGTTACGAAAACACATAAATTTAGCAGTTTTCTATATTTAATGACACATTTGGAATTCCCTATGAATTATACTTACTTTTGTCAAAGGTAAGTACCCATCAGCTGTAACTATTACTACATATTCTCCAGGGTAAAGCATGACATGGAATATACCATTAGCATTGCTAAGTGAGCATCTATTGTAACCTCGCACAGAAATATGAGAGCCAGCTAATGGTTTTCCAGCAACAGTTGTAGTAGAACCAGTCATACCAATTCGTGCCTAAATGTAACAAAATTATAAGATCATGGATAAAATATCATTTTATTTTACAGCATTATCTCTTTGTTTAATATTTCACAGATAATACATAAAAATTGAAAACATAATTCACACATAAAAAATAGACATTAGAAGCAGAAAGAGAATGGCTTCACTAAAAGTGTATATCTCAGCTTTAAACAGTATTAATATAATAATTATTAAATCAAAATAGTTCTGTAATGAAATATATATTATGGATGCCATGAAATAAAACAGTTAGTATTATGATGTCACACATAACAAATATAATTACAAGCCAATGGACATTTAACCAAAATTTAAAAAAAAAAAAAAAAAAAAAAAAAAAGTATATCTCAACCATGTACTTTATTTTTAAGAGAAAATTTTTTATGTGCTTTAAATGGTTAATACTAAAATCAGATAAAAGTTAAATTCCAATTCCATTAATTTCTTCATACATCTATGTAGTACAATGGGCACACATTTGTTTATGGATACTTGTATTTTTAAAATTTATCTGCTTAGATCATGCTCCAAATTTTTTCCTAATATATCTTCTCTATTTGAAATATTGCTTGTTAAAAATAAACATCAGCAAAACACAATTTGCTATAAAATAATTTATTCCAAAAGCGTTAAACAGTTAACTCAGATGGACATTTCAAAAGTTCTGTTGAGATATTTTGGAAGACAATGTTTCCTGTCAAATTTTTTGTTTTTTGTTTTAAATAAAAATTCATCATAAGAATCATTATCTGTATTTGCAAATTATTACTTCTTTAGCAAAATAATTTAGCAAACAAAACTGTACTTGTGTCAATGAGGTTCCACTGTACTTGTGTCTGATGGATGAACTGTTGTATGGTAAAAACCAAATGAAGGATTAAATCTGAAAAATCTATTAACTACTATTAAGTATGAAGGTCAATAGGCATAATGGTTTGGGTATGTTTTGCTGCCTCTGGGATGTAAAGTTTTTTATAGGAAATAATATGTATCAGTATAAGTATATAAATATTCTTAATGAAAATCTGAAAGCATCCGCAAGAAAACATAAGAGTGCAAAATACATTTAAGTTCTATCAGGATAATGATCCTAAACATACATCGCTAAGTGTTTGCTTGTGGTTAATATAAAACTATCATAAAAGTTATCAGAACTCCTCCATATTCTTCAGAATTAAATCCTATTGAACACATATGGATTTAGACAAAAGAATAAGTAAACATAACATCTCTTTGAAAGCTCTATTAAAAGCAATTTTTATGGAGAAATGGAACAAAATGGAACATTTTTACTCAAAAAAATTAGTTGAATCCATGCCAAAGCAGATAAAAAGTGCAATTTTAGTTGAAGGATATCTAATGAATTACTGGATGTCACATTGTTTTCACGTTCTTATTAATTGCTTAAGTGTCGAAATAATTGTGAAGGTTCATTTTCAGAACTTTTTGATTAAACTTTCCCCCCTCCCCACAAAAACATTTTGAATAACTTTTTTGAAAACAAGCAGGTTTTAAGACATATGATCAATAGTATACTTAAAAGAAAAACAGTCATTTTGCTAATACAGGGTTTGTATACATTTCCGCACAAGGAAATTAAGTACTTTTAAGGACCATTAATGAAAAAATTAAGGACCTATGAGCAAATGGGAACTGAATAAATTCAATTAAAAATATTATATCTATGCCTGAACGTGAGTAGGATGCATTATTATTAAACATAACTTAACATAATTATTAATATTTTGAGAATAAAATTAATTTTATGAAATTTATCAAGTAGAATTAAATATTTTACACTCATAATAACTGAACATATCTGAAAGAAGATAAGTGACATTTTGGTTACGTTTTACTGACAGTTAGCTGTTCTTTTTAATGTTCCATTTTGTCACATACTTGCTCAGTCTAGAGGTTTAGTAAATAGTAAGTAGATTTTATGTCAAGCAGCATAGGTTAAAATGAGCATTAAAATCATAATCAGCATGATTCACAACAAAAGACTGGCTGTTGTCACCGCTCCTGCTCGCCTGCTGACCTCTGTCTGACACTGTTAGTGTCGTAGCTTCGTGTAGTTCCAGAGGTTGTAACTCTTAATATATTTTAAGGTTCTATTAAGCTACTAAAGCATTAGCGGGGATAAGTTGTTTTGCATTAAGGCTCACTAGATGCAAAGAATAAGTTTCACATGAATTTTATATTTTTGTGTTTTACCTTGTGACCACGGTAAAGGTTTAACACGTTGAGCCCGGCGCCAAGTTTGCTGTCTTTTCTATTCAGCCGGCGGCAATACTGCGATCAAGCGGTACAATATTGCCGACTAAAATTATTCATAAATTATACAAAAAGGGAGAAGATGCACATAAAGTTCAAAAGTATTGTTTGAAATGTTATGATGACAATTCAAAACTATTTGGATGCAAGACAGCCAAAAATGTTACCAAAATAGTTGTTTCGTATTGTAATATGTGTAAAGCCAAGCCGTATTTTTGTTTATAATGTTTGAATAAATTTCATTAAAACTACATTTGATCACATTTCATTGAGACTATACTTATTTTTTAACTTTAATATTGTCGGGCCAGCCAGATGAAAATTCCGGTGCCGGTTCCCAGGGACCGACGCCAGGCTCAGCGTGTTAACGAAAGGCAATAACTTGCATTAATATAGAGAGATAATTTTTAAGAGAATGCATTTACTTATAATTAAATTAGGTATTAGATGACCTTAGTCATTGTGGATTTACATAGCCACTATTTAATTAAATTTATTTTTAATAATATTTGTTAAAGACCCCATTAATATTACAATCTCATAAAATTTCACAGTAATAATACATGCAATTTATGACATTGATTTTTAAACAATATTAGGATAATTACACATTAAAAGCTACAAAACATAAAACTCAACAAACAAAATAATTATGCCCCTTTTTAATTTGAAGGCCTGCCCAGACATTTTGGCTAATTTATATCGATTTCCTTCTCCTTAAGCATGTTTTCTAACAATTAGAAATTTGTTTTAATATGCAAAACAATGTTCTCATTAAATTCTGCATGTTTTATCTCCTAACTGTTTCATCTCCACAATGTACTATCTATGAGGGTTTACTTGATCTGGTAAAAGTTAAATAGTTCGACCCCCCCCCCGACAGACGTGATCAAATTATCACTATGTCTGAAAGTAACTAATCAAATAATAAATTTAAATAAAGGTTTAAATAAGCTTCTTATTCAAAAAGAACTTGGAACATATAGGCCTGTTTTTATGCTAACAAAATCAATTACAGTTTATGGTGATATAATTAAACAAGAAGAGTCAAATTCACACTAAAAATATGGACTAGTGGTCAAAGACTTATACAATTTAATTTCAGTTTAATCTGGTTCAGTAACTCTGTTGTCATAATAAACTCAAATGTCAGCAGCAGTAATGGAAAGACTAATAATTACAAATTATCAGAGCTGACAGAACTAATGCAGGGAGCAAGTGGAGGTCAGAAACACACTCCTCTTACTCTCCAAAAACCTCAGTTTAAAAACTGTCTTGCGAACAGTGATTTGCATTCTGATGAGGAAACAGAAATAAGAAATTATAGTAAAGGCTGAAACTGTAAATAACTAGGTAATTTACATAATAATAATTGTACACATCTTTGAAGAATAATTTTCTTTCTCTTTACATATTTAGTTTCTTTTTTCAACACGTCTCCTTTTCACTTTAAATTTTTGGGATTTAATTAAAGACTTCTGTTATCCTAAAAGACTAAATGTATTTAGAGTGCATGAAAAAAGCCGCTAATTTTATTTCTTTAGTAATATGAACATTCAGAAAGAAATATGAAATACATATGGTAAAGGTCTGGTCACAGAAATGGCTGTGAAAGAATTTGGCATATTTTTTTAGAATATAGGAGACGCACCTGAGCAAAAAAAATCTAGAAATGGGGAAACTTTTAGAATTTAAAGTAGGCATTGAAAGCAGAATTTAGAAAGGCACCAACGCTTCAGAATTTAGGATCCACAGAGGCTGCATCAGGTGGCAAAAATGTCCTAGCGCCACCTCTGTGTATGAAGCATTAAGACATATTAGATGAATCTTTTGAATTGTCAGTCAATTTCTTTGTTAATAAAAAAATTCCTTTCTATAATGCCTTTCCATATGATAAGATTAGAAGTACTTTTGATATTTTCCATGCTTGTATCTAGTGAAAAGTAGAGAAAATAAAGGGAAGATAAAAATGTTAATAAAACGATTCTAGAATCAGAAGTAAAACATTCAACTATTATGTTTTCATTGTTCTTCCAGATGTTCTCCAAAACGTAAGAAACAGCATGTTACTACCATGGAGACATTTTCATTTTATCACATTTTTCTGGAATCTTTTAGAATAGTGGGTCTATAAATTTGCCTTAAAATCTTTCTAAACTTTCCAAGCTTCAATGTCTAAAATCCTAAAGAAAAATTACCCCTACCAATTCTGTAACAGCAAAAAGCCAGAAATGTTTTTTTAAAAAAATCGGAGGAAAAAAGTGTGAAATTAATTTTATAGAGAAAACTGATGCATTTTCTGAGAATTCTGATCATTCTGAGAAATCGGAAAAATTCTTACCATAAAAAAATTTAAAAGAAATTTTTGATTAATTACATAGCTATTTTGCTTTTGCTAAAAACTGTTTTGTAAACTGTGCTTTATAGCATTATTCCTTGCTTATTTTTCAGATTAAAAAAAATTGTATAATATGTGGCCAAAATGGAACTTTATAATATGACAGTGAAAAATAAAAATGCTTTATTTTAATGTTATTTCTTAAATATAATTCCAATATTTACCATTATTTTAATGAAATTTATCAATGTTAGAATGATCTAAAAAAAAAAACGTCAAAAAATTCCCAGATCTCGGAATTAAAAATTTTCTATAGAAACCGATCTTAAAATCGCCAAAATGTTGAATTGCAAATTTAGAAACCGTTTAATAAAAGAATTCACATCCCCAAAAGCAAAAAGTTGTTGAAAGCTCTTCATTACAAAAAATGAAAAATATTTTGAAATGCTTAGTTTCACTTCTTGCTCAGAAACTCGAGTATCCCACCATTATTTATATTACAAATAGGAAATTATAACTCATGAACCCATTCAAAAAATAGCCATATTTGTCAGTGAATATTCCTGCAAAACGCTAATTCACACCCAAAATGGCAGTCGTAAAAACAGACAGAAATTTCAGATGATTAAAATTAAGGACCTTCTGCCGATTTTGGACAACATTAAGGACTTTTAAGAACCAAAAATAGATTCCAAAAAACTTAAGGACTTTTAAGGACTGTACGGACCCTGTAATATTTAGTAACTGATATCTGCAAATAAAACTGAGAACTACAAGTGCCTGAAAACAAATGTGGGCCTGTGTATATATAGATAAATTTAAATTAAAGACAACACAATAGCTTAGTCATGGCAGCAGTGTAGCAATTTGGAAGTCATTTATATCAATGATCAAATATAGATAATGTTAAACTGGAAAGACTCACCTGCTAATTACAATTAAAATACTTAAAAATATCTCCCCCCCCTCCAATGATACAGCGTACTTGACAATTTTGTTAAAAATCCAAAATATTCATTTTCATAATACAGTTAACTTTTACAACTGCACTGTTAAAAAAAACTAAAGTATAACAAGTGAGCTTCAATAATTTTCATATATTTGATTTGAACTGCATGGTCATTACAATACCACTACAAACATTCAGAATGATTTTCTAAGTATAACTGATAACTACTAACAATCTTGATTTATTCTGAAGAAAGAAAATTGTCTTATCACATGTAGTTCTTGATCACCTTATTCAGTTAAGGAATATGAAGTACTTGATTTAATTATTTTCATGAAGTCATTTTACTATGAATAATAGTTTGAAGGAATGGCCAAAGAACAGCAGCGGGGGAAATATCAATATTTAAAAGGAAAAAAAATCACAGAAAATTTCCATGGAAACAACTTCATTCTTCACTCAACAACATTGGATTCATACAGTTACTACTTTCAGCAGACTGTAAATTGATCAGTATTTCATGCATTGAATATTTAGGACTTATTTTAAGATCATGATTTATTAATTTCTTTCTTCAATAAAAATATCCAGGTTCTTTTAAAATATACAGTGGTGGCTAAAATTGTGGACACTTTTGGGAAATTTTATGTTTTTGAACTTTGTATGCTTATAGAAAATGTTGCGTTTCGCAAAATGCAAACTTGTATACAATGTACGTACAGAAAGTGCAAACTTATATACAATTAACGTCCAGAAAGTAAGTTCCGTTTGGTAATAAAAGTAAATTGTGTACAGCTACAGAAAAGTTATTTATTGCACAAAATTCAACAACTCTTAAACTACTTTTCCACATAACTGCCGAAATATGCAGGCATTTGTCATAGCGTGGCACAGTTTTTGTATACATTCTCATAGAAATTTGCCGCCTGTGTCTTCAACCAGTTGGAAACAGTTTCTTTCAGCTCGTCGTCACTGTTGAAGTGTTGACTGCCAAGGAAAGACTTAAGATGTAAGAACAGATGAAAGTCGCTAGGAGCGAGGTCAGGGCTGTACGGAGGATGGTCAAACACGTCCCAGCCAAATCCCTATAGGAGGTTTGTGGTCGTGCATTGTCGTGAAGAAAAACAACACCTTTTGACAGCAATCCTCGGCGCTTATTCTGTATTGCGCGGCGCAATTTCCGAAGTGTCTCACAATAAGCATGTGCTCTGATTGTTTGACCAAGTGGTAAGAAATCAATGAGAAGATGCCTTTCCAGTCCCGAACACTGTGCACATCATTTTTCGAGGTGTCAAGATTTGCTTCGGCTTAATCTTTGCTGGGATGAAGTGTGCCTCCATTCCATTGAGTGCCGCTTACTTAAGGGGTCGTAAGAAACCTAAGTTTCATCTCCGTCTTATCTGTGTCAGAAATCTTCGGCGCCTTTCAGCATAACAGGTCAAAAACTGAAGTGCACTACCCATCCGTTTTATTTTTGTGTTGCTCAGTAAGAATCTTTGGTACCCACGTGAGCAAAGTTTACGAAATTCAGTTTTCGGTAACAATTTCATGCATTAGTGATCGTGAAATTTGGGGGGAAATTTCCACAGCAAGAGCACTAATGTAAATCTTCAGTTTCATTAATCTTGTCATCAATCATGTGAACCATTTCTTCTGTAACCAAGATGGACGCCCACTTCATCGTGCCGTTTCTTCATCGTGCACATCACTATGTCCGTCATTGAACTTTCGAACCATTCTCACCATTGAATCACTCATCGCTTTTGGTCCGAAACATTTGCAAATTTGCCATAAATTTCACTAGGTTTCTACTTTCCTCGCATTCAGAAAACGAATCACAGATGTGATTTCACAAGCGGCAGGATTTTCAATCAACACCGACATTGTAAACGAGCACAACAAAGCATACGTGACTGACAGCGATCTCCAAAAAGGCGCACGTTTCTTCTCCTTGTTACAGAGCGTCTACTGCGCATGTGCGGAACTGCGATCGCAGAGCTGCAGCGGAGATAAATTGAAACGGAACTTACTTTCTGGACGTGCCTTGAATATCATTTTAAAGAGAATTTATTACTGAATTCAATACAAAACACAAAATTCAATTATTTGCAATACAAAAAAAGTTATATGTACTTTAATATACATAAAAAAACACAGTTAAGAAGTGGTTTGTATGTCTAGCTTTCCTGGCCAATCACTGTTCTTGTTCTGAGAACCAAAAAATGTTATTAACTGCCAGTAGAAGCTGACATCATGTTTACACTTAAAACAATTCATTATTTTGTTTGTTCTGTAGAAGGAGGACCTGTTTCTATAACTGCAATTACAAGTAGGAATTTTTGTAAAAATTTTTAATATTTAGTCAGAAGCAATGACATCAAATAAAGAGTAGACTGGACATCTAGAAAGAGATGTAATATTATTGTGTTACGAGAAAGTGGTCTTTCCTATGCTGAAATTGCAAGACAGGTGGGTGGTTCAGTGACTACATATGGAGTCCGAAAGTTTTGTTTATGATATCAGGAGACAAATTCAATAAAAAACAAAGAAGGAAAAGGCCGAAAAAAGTGCACCACATCAATTAATGACAGAAGAATAAAAAGACTATGTCTCCGAGATAGAAAAATGTCATCAGCGGCCATCAGAAGTGATCTGAATGATGCTGGTGTTTCTGTCAGTTCAAGAACAATCAGGAGAAGATTAACAGATGTTGGACTGAGAGGTAGAATTCCATGAAAAAAGCCTTATCTTAATTTTCAGCAACAAAAAAAAAAAAAAAAAAAAGACTATAGTGGGGAAAGAAACACATTAATTGGACAGATGATCAGTGGTCACAAGCTATATATCGAGTGATGAAACTAAGATATCGTTATTCGGCAGTGATGGGCGAAAATATGTAAGACGTAGAATAGGAGAAGAGCTACATCCTGACTGCATTCAAACAACTGTGAAGAACCCAGTTAGTGTTATGATTTGGTCATGCATGTCAGCAGATGGTATTGGTCGCCTTCATGTCATCGATGGGACACTGAATACCAGAAAATACATTGACACTATTCTAGAACCAAAACTTCTACCTTCCATTAGAGATCTCCTTCCCAAATGCTTCGTTTATTTTTCAGCAGGATTCTGCTCCTTGCCACACGGCCAAAATATCGAAAGAGTAGTTTCTTACAAAGAGCATTAAATTGTTGTCATGGCCAGGAAACAGTCCTGACCTCAATCCTATCGAAAATTTGTAACACCGTTTGAAAACTCTTGTCCGAATGAGGCGCCCATCATATAAAAGGGAACTAATTGAGGCTATAATTGTTTCCTGGCATCATGTAATAATGAAAGAAGAGCTAAAAACTCTTGTCAGCTCAATGAAACGTCGATGTGAAACTTTAATAAAAAATAAAGGGTACCCTTTTAAGTACTGATAACTCACTGCAATCATAACTATCTAATGTATATCGATAACTATTATCGATTAACTTTTTTTGTATTGCAAATAATTGAATTTTGTGTTTTGTATTGAATTCAGTAATAAATTCTCTTTAAAATGATATATACAAGTTTGCATTTTGTGAGACGCAACATTTTCTATAAGCATACAAAGTTGAAAAACATAAAAATTTCCAAAAGTGTCCACAATTTTGGCCACCACTGTATATCATATCTATCAAAACCATATAAAAATTTGTTAGTGTTTGTTAATAATTTCAGTAGCAAGTGACAATAAAAAATAATTCTGAGTTTGTTATAATTAATATATGTTAATTACAACAGTTAAAATATGCAGTGTGTAAAATAAATCAATAATTTAACAGTGACTCAATTTATTAATTTAATAAAGCCTTGTAATATAAAACAAATTACAGTGCACATAATCACATTGCAAGTGAAGTAATATACAATGACTGTAATTACATACACCCAACAATAAAAATAAACTTTACCTGTCTTATCAAATTTAACAGGGCCATTTTGTGTTCTGTCCATACTCTACCCATTTCTTGCGGTTTCAGTTGAGAACAGCAGCTAGCATAAATTGCTAACACATTGCTTGGAGTTTTTTTTAAATTAAAATCCTAAAATTATAACATTTTCATCTCCGTTACAGCCTCTACTATCATTGGCAATATTTTATCACATATTAACTGTACTTTATCCAATACATATATAATTAACTATGCATTACACTTTATTACATATACATCAGTTACTAGTTAGATGTGGTCTTTAAAATTGTAGCAGGTCTAGAACAGACATACTGAAATTTCACTTTAATAATTACAGATTAAAAAAGAGAAAATACAAGGTATCAATTACATTAAAAATGATTTTCAGTTTTCTTTGCTAAGGTAGGTATATACACTGCTCGACATTGAAAATGCAACACTAAGGAGTGGTCAGAAAGTGATGAAATTTGAAAAAAAGACAGAGACAGCAAGCAGCAATAAGTGATCTTTATTTTCTAAACGATAGTCAGAATACAGAGCGAGAACAGCATTAGCTCAGTAGGATGTAGGACCGCCGCAGACAGCGATGAACGAAGAAACACGTCTAGGCATACAGTAAGAGTGCGGATGGTGCCCTGAAGGATGGCTCTCTATTCCCTTTCAACCATTTGCCACAGTTCGTCTCCTGAACGAGGCAGGGGCAGTCTGCAAACGGCATCCAATCACATCCCACACATGTTCGAATAGTGACAGGTCAGGAAAGTATGGTGACCAGGGAAGCATCTGTATACCTTGCAGAGCATGTTGGCAGATGCGAGCGCTGTGGTCAGGCGTTATTCTGCTGAAAAAATGCATTAGGCAGCCCCTGAAGGTAGGGCATTGCCACTGGCTGCAGTACATTATCCAAGTATCATTGGGCCATCATAGTGCCCTGAATACGAACAAGAGGTGACCTGGAATCGTAGGCAATAGCACCCGAAACCATTATGCCACGTTGTCACATGGTGGGGCGTTCCACAGTTACTGCCGGATTAGACCTGTTTCCACGTCGAAGCCACACACGTATGCGGTGACTGTCACTGGATAAACAGAAGCGCGACTCATCTAAGAACACGACGTTTCGCTATTCTGTCATCCACATTCCTCCAGTCCAGCACCATTCTAAACGTTGGCATCTATGCTGTGGGTTCAATGGCAGTCTTCTTAACGGATGCCATGAATGCAGGCTACGTTCAACCAATCGACGAGAAATGGTTCTAGTCGACATGGGAACATCCAGGGTAACTTGCACATGTGCTGCAGAATCATGCAGTACAAGTTGACTTGCAGGATTGCCATAGCTTGTTCGGCGGATGCGTTGACCCACGCATGCTGACATGTCACTCTGGGCTGCACCTGCACCCCTCCTTCTTGCCACATTTCCTTGTTCCAACCATGTTCTCCAAAGCCGATGCAACCTTGCTCCGCATCCATGTGGGTATCAGCTGCTATTTGACATGTAAGGACCAACCCCGCCCTTCTCAGTCCTGATCAGCATACCCCTCGTAAAATCATCGTCTATCTGCTCGAAGTGCCTTCGTTGACGGCGGCTTAGCATTCTCTCCTATTACACGTATCCTCCGGGACAAAAACCAACTTTCTTTGATAATTCGTCTGGCAGACATAACGACACGAATATTGCCCATTCTACTCGTTCTTTCCCTTATATCTTACTTCACGTGCGTCGGAGATCTGCGCATTTCACATCATTCGCATAAATCAGTGATGTGCATCTACTCTAAAATTTGCATAAATTTCTGACCACTTCTTCTTGATGTTGCATTTTCAATGTCGAGCAGTGTATATATTTTATCATGAAACATTTTATACAACATTTTATTTACATGCACCATTGCTCAGAAAAATTCAGTTATAAAATAATTCTTAAATACATATAAGAAAAACATTTCACTTTCAGAAAAATGAGAACAATATATTTCCCCACTGTACTTATAAAAGAACCCTTATTCTACTAAGCTCCTTATTTTTCACTCAATACAATTTCAATGAATAAAAGTTATTTTACCGAATATATCTTTTTTAACATATATTTTATTACTGTGAAATTTTCTTTAAAATAAATTAAATATGACATATTGTAAATAAAAATATTACATATCAATTTCGCTCTTTAAAATGTTAAACTAAAGTTTAATAAAAAGTTGTGATCTATGCAAAAATATATATTAATATGAAAAAAGACACAGATCTTAAAAAAAGAAACAAGTTTTAGAGCTTTAGAATGAAACATATTTTTATAATTTAATGCTGAAACTTTAAGTAAAATTTCTTAATTATTTAAAACTCCTATTATAACATTTTATAGCATTTTTATAAATATAACTAATAACACTTGAATAATACTTCAGAAATGCTATTTTCTATATTTTCTATACAAATATAACACAGAAAACAATCTAAGAAAGTAAAACATGTTTTTGTTGCATATTGAATATTAAAAATTTTAATATAATTTTTTAAAATTTGTTGTCAGTTTATTATATTGCTATACACAAGACCTTAGTTTTAACAGAGCGATAACGAAAACAAATGATTTTCATATACAGGCATAATTCAAAATGGAAGTTATAACCGTTGCAATCATCTTAGTCCTACCACAATTGGTTCATCTGGCATTTTTACTTGTAGATGATCAATTATGGTGGAAATAATCAATTTCACAGTGACTAGAACCTATACTTATATGCAAATCTGCTTGAGCATAGCAGGGACTCGTAATAGTACTACTAAGGCAGCATGTAATTGTTAACAGAAATTTAGATATACACTGTTAGGCTGGTACTCCAAATCTTGTATGGATGGCCACATCACAGTGGGCACATGCAGTGAATAAACCTCACATCTGTGCTTTTGTATCAAGACAATTTCATTGCAGTAACAGTTAGAAGAACATCACAGAATGAGAACAAAATGGTACAATAATTGAGAACTTATGCCAAAGTTGAAGTATCAGACACAGTAAAATTTTTGTAGTCAAAGCATTTTAACGGCAATTTATAGAGATGGAGAAAAAACACAGACACAGCCAGGTATAATCAAATGATGTAAATAGTTATAATATTAATATAATACCACAGACTTGCTTGCTGTTGTCAGTGAGGAATGCCATCAAAATTGAGTACAGAAGACATTATGATGCAGGTTGATAAAATGATTTACAGCAATCGTAGAGTGATATTCTCAGAACCTGCACAGGAGTTGGTGTTTGTATAGACAATTTACTAGTAATGAGCAGATGCAAACAATAATTTTAGGATGTTCCCTGACCAAAGAATAGCTTACTATTGGCAAAGAATTGAAAAATTATTTGAAAATTCAGACTAATGTTTAGAAAGATCATGCAGAAAAATAGTGTATCTTTGTCATACTGCATTGCAGACTGCTCCCCAATGAGTTTGTTTTTACCTCCAGTAATAAGGAATAACTCATTCTTTTATCTCTCTATTATGTGTTTTAGTGTTGAAATTTCATTTATGTATATACTGAAAACACAAGGGAATAAATGCATACATTTTGCCCCAAAAAAGTTTTTTTAATTATTTATTCTTTTATTATTATTATTTCCAATGGCTAGGCAAAAAGTTACAAAGAACTAAAATTTTATCAACAGAGTTTACAAACAATAGAACTAAGAACAAAAAACTGAAGTCATTGCCTAAAGAGCATTCTTGCCTCCCAGTATCTCGACTTTTCTGTACGACCACAAAAGAGCCCCACATCCAAGCAGGTGGTCCCTGTCCATTTCTTCTGCAGAATCACAAAGTGGGCATATAGGATTGCTTGAAATGCTTCTGCAGTGCAGGTGGATGGCAAGGCAATCATGTCCTGTAGACAAGCGGAAAGCCACAACTGCATTACATCTTGGACTATTGGGGATACAAGAAGGATTCAATCTTCTCATTCTTTATACGGCTGTATAAGTCTGGTGATCTTGTAAGATATATGTAAATAAATGTTTTAAAAACAGTTTAATCCTTCAATAAGAAATGGGTGTATTAAGATGTTGTAGTAAGGCTGGCACCTCTTTTTGGAAGGAAGTCTGCTTGTTCATTGCCCTACGGCCACAATGGCCAGGCACCTACCGGAGAATGATATCTTTCCCCTTCAAAGTGACAATTCCCAGGAATTCTTGAAATTGCAAATTTTCACGTAGATGTTCAACAGAGCTAATTGACTAAATGGCTGTGTGGCAATCAGAAAAAATGACTGCTTTTGCAAACTTGTATTGGATAGCGAATAATTTATCTAAGGCTATACATACGGCTACTACTTCAATATCAAAGGAGGTACCAATGTATCCTGCAGGGGTATAAAAAGAAAAAAGATTCGAAAACACTATCAGCCCAAACTTTAAAATGGAAGTCAAACTGAGAACCATCAGTAAAAATGTGCAGCCAATGAGTAGGTGGATATCCAGCTGCAATGGTCTCCAAGGCGAGACACTGTAAAACACTTAGTGCAACATCTCTATTTCTATGGATAGTTTCCGTTATGTCTAGACTTACTTCTACATTAATCACCTCCAAAGGGTTTCTGATTGTCAAGAGTGGTTGTACATTACTTGGAATTCCAAGATCTTTCTTAATGTCCAGGACTTTTTGAATAAATTCATATTGGGTTTTTAATAAGAGCTTAAGTACATAGTCTGTCAGTAGGGATCCTCAATTGGCAGTAGCTTTTCATACACTGACTACCAATAAGTATTTGGACACCTATGCAAATGACGATATCTGCGGTCCTAAGGTACGTCACAGACTCCGCTGGTATATATTGTGTAGGAAACAGCATCAGCTTTAGTCGCATGCAAGATGCCTCACAGTTCGGAGCTCTCTGATTTCAAGAAAGGTATAATTATCGGGTATAACAAATGTAGCCGATCCTTAAGGGACATATCTAGCCATCTGAAGACTCAAAATCGACAGTGGCCTATGTGATTTAGAAGTGAAAGGTGAGCGGTGATTGTCGGAATGTGCCCCGAGTTGGCAGACCAACGAAACTGGGAGATAGAGACTGACGAGTGCTGTCCAGAGAAATTTGGAAGAACCGCACCCAACCAATGGCCCTCATCCGTGAGGAGTTTCAACAGGCATCAGGGAGTATTGTTTCAATGAATACCATCCGTAAGGAAGCACATCTGCTTAGTTTTCATGGCCGTGCTGCTGTCCATTAATTACCTTTGATCACAAAGTCCAACTGTGCTGCTTGGCTAATGTGGTGCAAAGCACATTGAAATTGGACTGTAGATCAGTGGAAACAGGTTCTTTGGAGTTATGAATCAAGGTTCCCCTTTACTGTTCGGATAGCAGGGTCTGGGTCTGGCATCTACCTGGAGAACGTCTCCTGCCAGAATGCATTGTGCCAACAGTCAAGTTCGACGGAGGTGCAATTTTGGTCTGAAAGTGTTTCTCCTGGTATGGGCTGGGACCCTTGGTCCCCATTCATGGTAAGCTCAACTCCAATGCCTACTGCACTATTTTGGATGACAATGTGCTTCCTACGTTGTGGCAGTTTTACGGGTTGGACCCCTGTTACTTTCAGGACGACAATGCCAGTTGTCATGTTTTGACGTTAACCAAGGCTTGGTATGGTGCCAATGGAGTTCATCAAATGGACTGCCCTGCCCAGAGTCCAGACCTGAACCCTACTATCGAGAACCTCTGGGACGAGTTGCATTGCCGAATTCAGGGGTGCACTACCCATGCAAAATCGGTGAAGGAACTTCTATGTCTTCTCCAAGCCGAGTGGAAGAAAATACCACTAGTTGTCATACAAAAACTTGTGGAAAGTATGCCCCGGAGGGTCCACGCTGTAATTACCTCTCGTGGAGGCTCTACCAACTATTGATTTTGAATAAAGTTAGTTTTTCTTTTCTAATCACAGGTGTCCAAATACTTATTGGCAGTCAGTGTACAGAACCAAGTCCCTCATTTTCACAATATCCTCAAAGGGTTTATTTTCCGTCAACAATAACATCGCTTCGATAGGTGTGGACTTCACAGCTCCTGTAATCAAGCAAAGAGCTTGGTTTTGCATTACTTCAAGTTTATTAACTGCCAATTGTAAGGCTACGATGACTGCTTTAGAACAATACGTCATTAAAGGCAGGATATAAGTTTTAAATGTAATGCTAAGAGTGGACCAAGCACACACCCAAATACATCTTGCTAAACATTTAAGTATATTAAGCCTATTTGAAACATTAAGCTGCTCAACATGAAGCTTTCAACATGAAGTCTTCAACATGAAACTTTTGATAACTTAATTTATTATCACAAGTCACTCCCAGATAAGTAAAATTTTCCTGTTGATAATAAAAATATCTCGGTACTTTAACTCTGGGTGAAAAATTTCATAGGTTAGAGAGAAAGACTGTGAAGCTGTCTCTTCCAAATTTATAATAAATTTTTCTTCACACCAATTCGAAAGCACCTGCAGGGCCTTATTTAATCGACTTTCAATAAGGTTTCTTGTAACATGTTTTGAGCCTCTGTTCAAATAACCAAATCATCAACAAATAGTACACAATTAATACCAGATGCTGATTGGTTTAAGAGAAGAAACTAGATCATTGACATATATATTAAACAAGGTGCTGCTACTAACTGTTTCCTGAGGAAGCCCAGCTTGTAAATTAAATAAAATGTCCAAAAAAGTTAAATATTCATTTTTAAGGCTAGAAATTGAAGCAAAATAAAAATTTACACAGATTATTCACAAGAGGTTAAACACTTTGAAAGATTAGTAATTCATTTATAAGGCACTCTAAGTCCGAAACCATTGTTTTTACATATATCTATCATATGCTGTTCTGTACTGGAAACCGTTTTCAAAACTAATCTGAAACACATAGGCAGTAAATTTTCTTTCAATTATTTCAGAACTTAAGTTTTGCATGACTCTGACTAAAATACATAGTTATGCTACTTAAACACTTTTATCAATTTCTTTTTTGCCAAATCTGTTGGCATTTAAATAAATATATATACTATTATGACTAATTACACCATCTTAAAAAAAAAAAAAAAAGTTTAGCACTACAGAATATCTGTCAACTTTGTCCAAATAAAAACTACATTCTTAACAAAAAATTAAGAAAAAAACATAAAGTATATTGTTCTATATGCAAAAAACTGATACATATCTGAACACATGTTTAACTGCTTATTCTTATATATATATATATATATATTTTCAATTTGTTTTTGTCTTGTGCACTTGCTATGTCTGGTGGTAGTGCCTTGAATGGCTTGCTGTCTAACATCAGTCGTTTTTATTATTTACTTTTGTTTTACTTTTGTTAGATGGGCCGGTCTCTAAAGGCTTTATGACTGAATCATCGGCCGAAGGAGCTGGTGGCTTCACCCTTGTAATAGCATATCTGAATAATTAAAAGCAATTATATGCCCTTACCTCAAAAAACTTATTTACAAAAAGAGAGAATTAGTAAAATGGAATTAATTTTAATATGGTAATGATTTTTTTTTTTCCTAAAAATATTCAGAAACTTTGCTTTCTAATCCTTATTATTTTGACTAATTTTCAGAATCAAGGTATTTAAAAATCATTAAAATGAATGTAAAAAGATTTTTAAACACAACAGAGGAAAATAAAAATGTTTTACTTTGTTATTTTTCTAAAAAGTGTATTCCTAACATATTCTTTATCTTTTAATGGTACTACAATAATGTTATTTATTAATATATTATCATTATTTTTGTTAAAAAAGTGTCATAAAATTTGCAAATGACCAAATCAAAATTTTTGTAGACAAATTTACCTTAAATTGCCAAAATTGTTATTAGCTGTTAAAATTTAGAGATGGAAAATAAAAGAATTTAGGGATCTTTCTATTTTAAATAAGAATTTAGGAATTCTTATTTATTTTTGATAATGAAAAAAATTACAGAGATGAATTCAAACGATAGTAACCGAAATGTCTACCAGAAATACATATTATCCAAATTAACACAAATTTTAGCATTTTTTCAAAAAATTTGCAGAATTTGTAAAAAATGGGTTTTGTTGGTAAGATCATAAATTTAGACAGTTTTTGTGGAAACAGCAAAATATTGGTAAAAATTAGCCGATATATTATATAACCTTATATTGGCTAACACTTTTCCAGTCCAATTTTTATTATATTCATTTACATTTGAATATAGAAATTCATTGTTCATGCCTCACTTTGCATTCTGAATACATTTTTGAAAAACCATAAATCACTTATTACATTAAAATTTTACATTTCAAGAGAGATTAAACTAAATTTATGAGTAAATGAGGTATGTTTTCAGTAATTATAAAAACTTTCATATTACCAAATAGCTGCCTTTATGAGCATGCAGAGATGAAGCTGGAGTAACTCCTTCAGTGAAATTATCTGAAAAATAAATAATTGTATAATAAATATGATAAGGATATTTTTTCAAAAAAAAAAATTAATTAAAAGAATGGAACTTACATTGAGTTGATGAGCATTCATAGGTACCCACATGCATTCTAGGATGATTGACACTATATACATGAGCAAGATGAATTAATAAGTTTTTTTCTTCTTTAGACAAAGAATCAACTGAAAGGAATTAAACATTATTAAAAATATAATGGTGCAATTAAACTTTTACAAAGCATACAGCAGCAACATCAAGATTCAACAAATGATAATGAAATTTTCATTTGAATTTTTAATATTTAATAATTTTATTTGCAATTCCCCCAAAGCCTTAAACAAAAAGAAAAGTCAATGTGTATAGTTAACAAGCCAACAATTTAACTTCACTAATTCCTATCAGACCATGAAACAATTTCCTTCAGCACCTTGCTGAATATATTTTTTTGAAGGAATCTTTGCGTCTAGGAATTTTATGTATGTAAGTTTTCTACAATACTTCCCTCTGAATGATGACTTACATGAAACTGAATGTCAAATGTGACCCTTTTGCCATTGCATAAAACACCACAGCTAAGAACTTGCTGTTCAAATTTATTTTGGAGAAATATATGTCAGGAAGAGTTACTCAATGCATTTTGTTGTTGGTGGTGCAATATCAGATAAAAATGGCACAAGAAACAATAAAAAAGTGTGAAGGGGGAAGCCATAAGTTTCAAAGAAACAGAAAGACTCAGAAATAGAAATAAAAACAGATTGCAAGAGAAAGCTACAGCATTAAAATACCAAAAATGGAAACTCTTTACCCATCTCTTCTTTCTCTGATTAGCTTTTTCTCTGCATTAAAAACTGCACCAATGGTGTGGGGGGGGGAAACCTAGCAGCAGTATCATTAATTAGATATAACGTTCTAATAATAGAACCTCCATGCAGTGTGAAGTGAATTTAAGCAAGAAGTATAAAGATGGTAATCAAACTATACCTGTTTTATACTTGTTATATATCACACTCACAATAATAACAAGATAATTTTTAACATTAAATTGGCTCATCTGTTGGCCCACCAGTGGCCGAGTAGTAAAGTTGCTGAACACTGCTAGTTCCATCGGGTGCCTGCATGGGCATTATTTTGGTTTTCCCCATATACATTATGTAACTAATAAAAGAAATTGTACAACTCAGTCTTTCTATTTACTAATAAAATTAAATAAATATTTATAAGAATGTATAATTTACTCACCTGAAGAATTTAACTCTTGTAAAGGATAAGTAACAACTTCAGCACCTCCAAAAAATGTTGCAGACAAAACTGCAGGTTTTGTTAATATCCAATTTTTAATTGAGATTGTCTCAGGGGCAGCTTTATTATCTGGTTCTAAATTAAACATTTTAATCAAAAATTAAAACGGCTATCTAACATACTGTCTAACTTAACTGTTAATTCAGTAATAACATAAAAATGATGTACCTTCAAAATTTTTATCCAAATCAATTTTACTAGATTTCTTTTCTAGACTACAGTCTTCAACTGTGCTGTCAGGATTTAACAATGGTGCAATGTATATTGTTGTTTTGTTAATAAGCTAAACAGAATAAAATGCATTGGAGTAAATAATGATAAGATGATACTCAATTAATGTGATAATTGAACATATTTTGAAATTTATTTTAAAAAGATGAAAAACAGAAAAGAAATTATACAGAACATAACAGAAAGAAATTACCATTAACAAAGGTTTCATTTAAATATCTTTTTATTAATTTTTGGCATTTCTTTTTTTTCATGCATTATTACTAAAGAATAAAAAATTACAAAACACAACACATTTATACCTGTTTGACCTGACATTTTGCATTTTAAACCAAATTAAAATCCAAATAGTAGTTTATTTTAGAATAAAAATTTTAAGTAAATATTTTTTTAATTTAATATTTATGTTCAAGAATAATTTATTATAGCTGATAAAAATAATTAAGAATTTAAGCATAAACAATAATTTCTTTAAAAAAAACTTACACTGCTGATTGCACTGTCTTTTCCATAATGCATAGCAAGATATTCAGCTAATTGAATTAAAATTTCTGAAGCTGCAGGCTCATAACCACTAAGACCAGCAGTTAGCCTTACGGCAGGCAGAAGTGCTTTTTCATTCTCATCTTGAGGTCCAATTTCTAAAACCCAAAGATCTTTTTTTTCCATACTTTTTCCAATGCTACAAAAAGGGGAGGGAAGTTCCATGAAGTTATGAAAGTTCCAAGAAGTAATGATGATCATGAATAGAAATTACAAAGCAAAATTTAAAAAATAAAAAAATGATTGAATATAAAATCAATAATTCAGTTTCACTCTGAATAGTTATATATAAAGTTAGCTAACAAAATACTCTTATAAAATGTTGACCAATGTTCTAAATATTTTATATATAGTATTATAAAGGTATCTCAGATAAGAAATGTAATTTATTTTATGATGACATTCATGATGTTGGATGCTGTTTCCCACAGGTAACTATAGAAATAATTTTAATCCATTCACAAGTGTGACTTGACCTCCTCATCTGGTTCTTTTCCACAAAAACTGACCATAGCAGGAATTTAAAAATTCCACTTTGTTATTTATATTTATATTTTTATTAAGAGGGGAACTTTTATTGCTTTATTCTACTCTTCCATTAAAGGGAACTTTACAGCAAACATGGCACAAAATTGCAAAACACCGGAAAAAGTTTCACAAATTGTTTAAAAAACCAATACAGTACAAAGTCCGAAATCCAGACGTCCATTATCCGGAATGATCTAAAATCCAGACCTCAAAACCATCAACGATTTTCTTGTAGGCTTTACGCATGCACATTTAATTCCCCTCTCCGCACATAATAAAACATCTGAAGAGTCCCGATTCTTAATTTCACTTCACTAAATAAAATACCTTGTTATTGAAGAAATAATCATTTTAGCTTAAATTTGTACGATCAGTAATTTGGCTCCACTGCTGCACATGTGCTTGGCATACATCTCAAACCGAAACATTCCACATAGATACATCATTGATCTGATGCCAACCTGGCGAATCATTATTTATTATACTTTCCTTTCATCCCCGCATGTTCATCAACACATTACAACTTGAGTAATAACTCATGTAGCGATGCCTAAACAATTATTTTATATTAGTAAGTGAATAACAAAGGAGTATGGTAACCTTTTATGTTCACATTATGCTTGGCGATGATTACAGATTTAAGTTAAATGTGCTAAAAAATGTTGACAAGGAAAAATTTAACAAAAATTTCTTTCCATATGCTAAAAATAGATTTTGTTGATGATACTCATAGACTCTACATTTAGGGATATTTGAATTAAGAATGACTGATTTGTTATTCACATAAACCCAGAACCAGTGCCAGGGCTCGTAAGGCGGCACCGGGTCGCAAAATTTAGGAACCACAGAGACTGTATCAGGTGGTAAGATATCTAGTGCCGGCCCTCAATAAGGCTTAAGTATATGGTGGGAATTTATTTATTCAGAACTCTGATAAGCCTTAAGCATGTGCAAGAAATAGACATAAATATAATAAATGGCTAAACTAATACAATTCAGGCTTAATTGTCTCAGTGTGCGATAGAAGCAAGGTAAAATTTAACGGAACAACTTGTCATTAGTTGCCAAGCTCGTGATGCATAGCCAAATACGTATAGTGAACGACAGCTAAATTTGATGATGATAGCCACGAATTTTAAAGGTTTTTGGATATCGCAAAACAAAGGTGAAATTTTCCAATTAACGGATTTTGTAGAGAAATGTGGAGAAGTAGTAATAAATGAAGATGATATAATAGAAGTTTTTCATTGTGATGACAATGCTTCTCAATCATCAATCAATTAATGAATGGCAAAATCTGTAGTATGGTTCTAGATCCAGAAAATACTGCTACCAATATAATAGTGAAGAAAGTGACAGAGAAGTTACTGGAAATGAAAAATTTCCGATTTGACAAGTTAGTTGGAATTCTTGAGACAGCAGTTACAAGGCTTCAATGTAACTAAACAAGAGATTATGTCTGTCTACAGAATTAAAGAGAAAGTATTATCACAAAAAAAAAAAAAAAAAAAAAAAAAAAAAAAAAAAAAAAAGAAGCAACTTAAACAAGTTGCATTGAAAGAAATGATTAATAAAGTAAACAAATAAATAATAAGCTCTTTTTTTGTAAATTTGGATACCCTTTACATCATAAATACGATTCATTCAAATTTCATAAATCATGATTTAATATTTTTAATTTTACAATTTCTACATGCCATCTTACTAGATTTAAACTGATGATCTAATATCCAGAAAAATCCCAAATCTGGAATCTCCGAAGTCCCGACAAGTCTGGATGTATTATATTACTTTGTACTGTATTATATATGCTAAGAAAACACTAATTTATTAATCACAAAATATTTACATACATTATGCCTGTATACAGGCTCAGAGCTTTTCAGTTCAATTTAGTTTGAGTTTTTCTAAATCTCAAACTAAATTGAACTGAAAGTGAAAGACACATTTTTCTGAAAGTGAAAGACACAGCTGTCATTAATTTTTTAAAGAGAATCAAGTTTCATGATGCTAAAATGGTTTAGAAGTAATCTAAAGATGTTCTTCTTGAGATTGGATTTTTAGGTAGCACATGGCCATGGCCCTGAATAGACCAGATACCTGATTTATCTCTTTTTTTTTTTTTTTTTTTTTTTACTTCAAGAGTTAAACTAATACCTATCTGAACAATTATAAGAAAAAACATTACTAGTCACTCATTGGAAAATTAATGCAGCTAATTATCCTAATTTATCTAAAATAACTTAAGAAATACCTTTCCACATCAGTTAGTATCATATACAGTAAAAGAATGTTTTCAGAAACTGGTATTATAAAACAGATGTGTAACAAAATTTAGCCAAAAATAAAGCTGAACAGTTATTTTTACACTATAATTTAACACTCCTGAAAATGATTTTAAAAAGTACATTCAAAGGAGGAAAAAAGCTTACCTCTGAAACTTTTTATTACATTACAAAATAAGGAAATTGGTTTTAAAAAAATTATTTTAAAATAATACAAATTCAATAAAAAATTTAAAAACAAAGCACACGAGCAATAATTTTATATGGATATTTAATATGCCAGAGAAGGCATAATATCTAATATTACTTTGAAAACATTAGCCTGAGCACAAAGCAGGAATAATTTTTCAAAATCAAATTCAAACAAGACTTTTTAAATGCTTTTGAAGCATGTTAGATCAAAATGAATCATGTAAGCAAAGAACTGGAATTTTCACAGTATTAAATTAAAATATGTAAAAAAAGTCTGCATCACTAAGATAACTACTCACAGTGCTAAGTAATTCTGGTATTCTGCAAAAGTAAACACATTAAAGGATATGATTACCGATGAGTCTCAGTACTGCTATTATTATTATTATGTTCTCAGAAATAATATTCTCTTTCAAAAATGTTTACCACAAAAGTTTTCACTATACATATATAGAGGAGAGAGGGGAAAAAAATTAGAAAAGTAGACAAAGTTAAATTTATAAAAAATATGAAAGAACTAACAAGTTCAAAATTAGCGCCTAGTGCTGCTTAATTTTTTAATGAATTTTAAAATATTAAAATACCTAGTAAAAGCCATAAGAATACTTAATATATATGTGTATATATAAGAAAAACAATAATCATAATTCTAAGAATGCAATTGAAAACAGCTATTACCTGTAGAAATTTGAAATAGTAGGATGTTGCTGCTCTATCTTCTTTAATGCTTTTTCCATTGATGGATAGTCATGATAAAATATGTCTGATACAATTGGGTCCAAAACAACATCTAGTGTTACAAACTCCTCCTCTTTAACCACAATTGATTTGGTAACATTTTCATGGCCAGAACAGGAAACTTAAAGAGTAAAAAAGAATTACACTAACATAAAACAAAAAATATTTATTTTTAATTACACATATTACAACTACAAAAAAACATACTTAATCCTTCTCCAAACTATATGCACAACAGGATTAAACCGTTACTACCATTTGAAAAAAACAACTATGCATAATCTTTATTTAAGATTTTTGTTAACCTCTGGTGGAAAGTACTTACTTAGTTTATTAATTACTTGTTATTATTTTAAATTTAAATTACTATACCAGAAAACCTAGGAATGGATTCTGATATAAAGCATGCATATGCAAGTGTTTATATATTACATATATGCATTATTATAATGTTTTAACATGCCTTTTCCATAACTGTTAGTTCTTTCAAGAATTTATTTAGTAAAAGTTTGTTTTAATTTAGTGTTTTTCTTATGAGAAAACAGATAATTTTTTTTTTAATATTTCCTCCTCCTTATCTCTAGCCCAGCTTTGTATTATTCCACAAATTAAAAATTAGGTTATATATTTCATTCCATTTAAAAGACAAAATCAGGTAAAATATTGTTGCTCACATACAGGTTCATAATAGATTGAATGCATCCAGGTCCAATGATAGGTTAATAAAATTTATTTTTATTAAATAAAAACATGTCAAAGGTTTGGAATCTTTCGCAGAAATACTCATACAAGAGTTCACAGTATTACATATTACAATCAATAGTTCTGAATCAAACTACTAAGAACGCTAAACACCGCAATGCAAAGTGCATCTAAAGAGAAAGCTAACTCGGATATCTCAGTTCACACAAAACTAACAAATCCCAACAACCATAAATAAGCAAATGAGAGCAAATGCTCTCTCTCTAGTCTTAAATAGTTTTCAACTGGCCGTTAAAATATTTCTGCTTCTCAAAATTACTGGGAAGCAATACGAGGATGGAATTATGGTTACAGCTAACATAGTAGTCAATTACATTTATTCAATTTCAACACACATTATAAAGATACAGGGACCAAACAAAAATGTCCCCAAATGTGGCGACTTCTCGCCAAATTACTGGGATATCCATTTACTTGATGTTGAACAGACTTGCCCCTGTATTCTTACTTTCTTGGCATAGTTTGCTCTTAAAATTTGATTCGTGTTACATTACACAGAAAAATACAACAATGTCACATATAACTGCACTAAAATCATCTATCTATATACAAAATTTATAACACTATAAAGATACAACAATTCTGTACAAATATGAAGGCTAGCAGCTATGTGGTAAACATGCTTTTAATTTTTTAATTTTGGTATTTCACATCTGCTATGTGAAAATGCAATTTTCACTGAGAAATTTCAATTAAAATTGCTATAAAACCCATTCAAGATCATTAAACTAATTTATAACAGGATTTTGATGTAAAATATATTAATTTAATATTTAATGCATCATTCTAAATTATTTTTATGCTTTTTGCTAACTGCATTATGTTTTGCAATTTTAAAATTTTACATTGATTAAAATCTGAGTAGGAAAAGAAGTATTTTACACAGCAAAATGCTTTTATAACAATGAAAATAAAATGAATAATTAATGTCCATATACTTGTGCAGAAAAATTTAGCAATTTATAATTGATAAGGTTAAAGCAAAAAAGTTAAATACAAGTACCGTAATTTCCGGAAGAAATACCGTGGCATTTACATGTTTAAAACTTAAATTTTCAAAGGGTGCAGTGTTTCTACCTATGCAGCGTTTAGGTGCACTAAAAATAAAATATTTCCTATGATGGTCATTGTACATAGTTTGGATGGCCTTGTGATTGTACATAGACTGGAGCTGTTCCCACACAAAAGACCACTCAGTTGCTTTTTGCGAACGTTATTTTGTTTACATTCTTTCCCTTGAACGAACCTACATGCCTCATTCATCCTAAACGGATCTTAGAACAATAACATTTCAAATCAACATTCTCATCAGTTTGAATAGTCTCTCTCTTCAGCCATTGATGAATCTTCCAGGACCCATCCTCTCCCCACCCCTGCCTTTTCTGCAAATATTTTTAAAGGCGGACACCTGCCTCCCAATAACGAACTTTGACATATTTCCCCTTCAGCATGAATCGATTTTTCTTGGCATTCTGCCAGATACAGATCCCATCAGTTTGGGTACAAGTACTTGTTGGATAGTTTTTAAGTAAGAAGGGAGTGGAAAATTTTTTAAATGACACAGAAGCTATACTGCTGGTTTTAAGCTTAATGTAATTTCACATGCTGAACAAATTGGAAATAGAGCAAAAGCTGGAGAATTTGAAGCAAACGAGAGATGTATCAGACGTTGGAGAACTGAAAAAGAACTTCTTAAAAATATGCCACAACAGAAACGAACCAAAAGAAGTGGTACCGTAAGGTGGCCGAATCTAGAGGACGACCTTGCAAACTAAATAAAGGAGCAACAAGGAAAGGGAATGGCAATTTCGACTGTAAACATTCAAGCAAAATTTATAACAAAACAAATGAACATAAATGATTTCAAAGGAGGGCCTTGCTGGTGTAGCAGATTTATGAAAAGAAAAAATATTTCTGTGCGTACCAGAACAACAGTAGGCTAACAATTACCAATGGATTGGCAGGATAAAATGGCATCTTTTCTAAAATATGCGACAGATATTTTTGACAAAAAAAAAAAAAAAAAAAAAACTCTTCGGCCACAGATAATAAATATGGATGAAATGGCGTAAGCTTTCGACTCTCCTGCAAACAGAATTGTTGATGAAACTGGTGCAAAAACTGAATCTGTGCTTATGACAGGGCATGAAAGAACGTCATTTACATGTGTGTTAGCTTGTGTCACAAACGGTGACAAGCTAAAGCCAATGATCATTTCTAAACGCGAAAGGAGATTTTCCTAATGACGTAATTATTTGTGCAAACGAGAATGGCTGGATGTGCGAAACAATCACGCACGAGTGGCTACAAAAAGTTTGGCAGTGTCGTAAGAGATCTTTTTTCCAATCAAAAGGGTTATTGATAATGGATTCCATGCATGCTCATTTACTTGAGTCAGTGAAAACCAGATGTCAAAAATTGTCTACAACCATAGCAATAATTCCTGGTGGTTTGACAAAAATCTTACAACCTTTAGATTTGTCAGGTAATAAATCCTTCAAAGCTGAGTCCCAAAGCGGTAGCAGTGTTGGGTGAGTGAAGGATTGCATACATATACCAAAAGCGGTTAAATGCATAGAGCATCTTATGAAGAAGTTGCAAAGTGGGTAGGAAGTGCATAGAAATCATTAAAAACATTGTCAATAATAGCAGGGTTCAAAGAAGCTGAAATTATATCCTTAGCTAAAGTGACTGTAAACCAAGAGGATGAATGTGACGATCTGGAAGACTTGGACTTAGATCAGGATTTACTAAATCGTTTTAATTCAGATAGTGAAGAATCAGATTTTGATGGCTTCATATGATGTATAGTTTGCTATAATTCCTTTTGTACGTAAAATTTAAAATTTCCTTTTGTCATCCAAATTTAATATTTCGTTGTTGCAACATTTTTTATAATATAGTCTGAGTATTACAAAAATGGACTTCTTTAGTGTGTAAATATAAGTATATAAGTGAATGTAAATATATTTTCAACATTTCTTACCTTTAATTTATTTTTGAGTTATGATTTCATTTCATGCATTTTTCTTAACTGATATGTCATATATCAGGACTTAGGTTGAGATTTTGCATCTATACGGCCCACGACGATGTCACGCGCAATTTAATCTGCTGCGGCATTTCTGTGTAATTTTTATTTTTTTCCCCGCCATTTTTCTCGAGTTTGGCGTTACACTGATGCAGGCTTTCTTCCGGAAATTATGGTACTTATCTATTAAAGGTTGGCAGCAAAATTAAAAATAAAAATATTTGATAGTTAAACTTTAAGCCTTAACAAAATGCACCGGAAATCTCTAATTAAGAAAATAATGTTCATCAAATATTGTGCTGAAAATTACTAGATGGGAATTCTATTTTCATAATTTGAGTTTCCTTTAGAGATAACAATGTCATTGCCTTTTTTTTTAATGTTATTAAAACTGTTTTTATAACATATCCTTTTCCTACAAAACAATCGGATAACAATTCTTCCAAAACCACTTTCAGGACGGGCTTTCCATATACGCATTCCCTAAGAACATCTCTCACAGCTGGGAGTCCCATCCACGTATCACTAGAGATTGCATTCAGAGGACGGGTGACGTGTATACGCATTTTAAGCTGGAATGTTTTCCTGAAGACCACTAGATGGCATCCTATGTCCATTACTTTTGAAATAAATACAGTTTTGGGTTCCAGACTTTGATATATTCTGCCTGACTTTCGTGTTTTTACTCATCAACTGTTGTGAAGGTGGGGGGAGGAAAAGCGTAAACAACGTGGGCTCTTTAAATCGGGGCGTGCTAATATAAACCTTCACACGTCTGATTTATATCCAATTCCTTTTTTTATTCTATTTTTTCCTCTACCATGTACGGTCTTTTAGGATTAACATGTGGAGCTCTGTTATGTTTTGCATTGCCTTCAGACATATTTCGAGTTCTTCTCTTTTTATTTCGGAAAGCCTCACTTCCAGTCTATTATGGCGTGAAGGCACTATTTTTCAGAGGAAGGATACACTCTTATGGTTAATGAACCATTTACTAACACAGATGAGAGTGATGACTTACATTCTAAAGAGTTAGAAAGTGATACTCTCCGTGCTTCGAGATTTACCACTTCAGTCTATCAATTTACCATTTTCAGTCTTCATTTTAAATTTTGTTACTTTTTCCTGTAAATAGTCTTTTTGTATTGTTTTATTAATTTAAAACTTTACTGATGGGTTTTATCAGTTAAAACTTTGTAATAATATGAATAGCGCTTCCGAAAATTATTTTACAAGATAAGCAATTTTTTTAATATATTTTCATGTAAAATAAAGAAAAAAAGGTTATTAAATGCAAATTTTAACATATATAAGAGGTGAAATAATAATCTAAAATGATACCAAAAATTATGATGCTAGAAGTGAAACTTTTTTTTCCTGATTTTTTTTTCAAATGAAATTAGGCTTCGTGATGCAACCCCCTCCCGTCCTACATGGTGACTGCCTTTGATTCCCTTCCGTTCCGCACGAATGTTTTAAACAAAAGTGCGTCGTCGCAAAAGGGTTAAAAGAGATTACCTAATTCAAATAATTTAAAAACCAGATTTAAAGAGGTAATGAAAAATAGAGAATCTCAAAATTTTAGCAGGAGCATTGACAGCTGTAAGTAGAAAAGTAATAAAAGCTATAGATCTAAAAGAAACCACTACTTTTGTCTTCTTCAGTTAATTTGCCTAATAATAATATTTTTGCATTTTTATCATAATTTTTTTGCAAACAAGTTTTTATAATTAGCTAAACATATTAAAAGCATGTTTTCTGCAGTATACAAATGTTCACATGCTTATTACAATAAATTTTCCATTTCTGTAATTTATTTATCTCATGTCATCCATTTGAACAAATAATTGTAAAAACATATAGAGAATCTATTTAAACAGGGCATTCAGTTTTAATATTTTTCCAGCTCCTTACTTACACTAATCTCATTTGCACAATCAATGTTTTTCTTCTTAGGTACTTAAATTATGATACATTACTGATTAAAAAAATGCCTAAAACTATAAAAATAATACATACAGTATAAAACATAGGAGCCTGGTACTAAAGTGAGAGCATAAAATGCTGTTTTAGAATGCAGAGGAATTAGTTTTCGACTATGATGTAAAATGACTGATGCATTTGTAAGAGGGGATCCATTGTTGTCCGTTACATGACCTGCAATGCCTATTAAAGTAAAGTAGAGAGTTAAAAAGCTTAGTGATTTAAAAAACATAAATATTTATATGAAGATAATATTCAACACTAAAAAAGAATATTATATGAAATTTTACTCGATAAATAAAAGAACAAACCATCGAAACAATGTTTTAACATGTCTATTTAATAATGATAATTCAATTTCATTCTATGAAGTGTAGATTCTGAAAACTTTTATTCTATAAATATAATAGAAGACAGGTAGAGAATAGCATATACTGCTCTAAATGTATGATAATGGTTTTCATTTATTCTATTCCACTCCTCCCAGAAAAAGTATTTATTTTTTCTCTTCATTAACTGGACAGTGGTATAATTTACAAGCATACTTAAGATATTTATTTCACTTTGTCTGCAAATTGGTTAAATAATGAAAAAATTGATGGAATAATACTGAAGAATTTCTGTTACAGAATTTCTTTGCAATTAAATAAGGAAAGAAACACAGTTAATTATGAGGACACAAAACTCACTGGTAACTAAACTAATCCTTTGGCCATTTTAATGAAATTTACTAATGAACAGCAGTTTGAAATTTTTTATCAACAAACACCACTACTAGTCTGGAAATATTAAAAATTTTATTTCACACATTTTAAAATTTTAATTTGGTGTAAAAATAGAATTATTCTTTGTTCTTGCATCATTTTTGCACAGTACAGTTTACCAAAATGTAAGTCTGGCATAAATTTTGCAGCAAACACAAAACTGCACTTATTGATTGTGATCTAAGAAATAATATGATTTATCATATTTAAGCTATATATATAAAAAGAGTGAAAATCAACATTAAGGAAAGATACTGAGTATTCAACAGCAGTGATAGAAAACAGCATACCTTCAGCTGAAGCTTGAAGAAAATGTATTACTGACTGCAGATTGTTGACCCATAACTGCGGTAATTCATTTGGTTTGGGCCGGCTACAGCAACTAACATGAGCAGCCATCTAATTAAAATATTTAAAAGTCAAATATATAATATTTTAACATCTCCATACATTTACACAAATAAAAAACTTATATATTTCACTTAAAATTATGTTCTATAATCACACGTACAGCTACTGTTCCATGATTAGCATATGCATAATCCAGAAGAGAGTTGGGTCCTTGCATAATGCTTTTGGAAGTATTTTGTTCCCCGCACATGGTAGCTTTAGATAGAAGAGGATGATTTGTGATGTAATGCCGAGATATAAATTGGAATGTTTGTGCTTCTTGACTACTATCTCTTTCTATAATATTCAACGGGAAACTGAAAGGGAAATGTTTGGAAACAATTCAAACTTTTGTTTAATAATTAATAATTTTTTATGCTAAAAAAAAGAGCAGAAAAGTATAGAGCATTCAAATAAGATCTAAATGAATGGAATGATTACACATAAAGTATGCTATTATTCAAGTATAATTTCTCCATATTCTAAAACTCTACTTTACTTACATAAGATGTTTACATACCTCCTCTGAGAGGATTACATTCATATAATCAATATTGTGAAGAGCTGGAACTGCACAGATCAGCAAGTGATTGTGTGATGAATACAAATGAAATTTCTTCAGATTGGCACAATAAAAGGGAAATTTTGATAAAGTTCTAATAATGTGTGAGATAGCTAAAGAACATTTGCCACCTGCATGGAGTTGTCAAAAGCATAGAATTAACATTGTGTATAGTAGAACTGACAAAGTATCAACATGGCATAGCACCAACACAGGCATATGATCAACACTGTTTACAAATGATACCATCAAAATACAGTCAATATTATCAAAATCAAGAGAGAAAAGATTTTATTAAATTATTATTTTTGTAAAGTACCCACAAAGAATCAACACCAGCATAAGATCAACATTAGCTAAGAATAAAAACTGGTTTTTGAGCTACTGTATTGATCTTGTCTAAGCAGAGAGACTGCTGATCTCATTAGATACTTACCTTATGTTGCATTTCCCTTTTGAAATAATATGATACTGGGAAGACTGGAAGCTAAGCCTAGATTATAACAGAAATGTGGAAGATGCCCCAGTTGTATATATGTATTAGACATTGTTCCCCTTATTTTCCAAAAAGTCTGATCAAAATTTAAGAGCTTAAGATACCTTCCATCAATAAGCATATGAAAATCTTATCAGTGAGGTAATATTGTTTACTCACTACTCTCATACGTGTTATATACAATAAAAAAGAACAAGCTCTCTCTCTTTGTGCTGTATGCAATATCTCATGATTGAAATATCTGTTTATAACAGATATTTCATTATCCAGTCATTGCTTATCCTCCTAATCTGAATCACAATTTTCATCAGATCTATAAATAAAATAAGGCCATGAGTAAGGCAGCACCTGCAACTGGCCACAGCCTTGGGTACCTTACAGATGACAGTTATGACTATGCTTATCTCCATCCCAATTTTGACTGAGAATACCTGGGACAGAATCTATGAATATGTCACCCCCTTTTCTACTCCAAACAACTTTTCATACTCGATGGATTTTTAAACATGCCTATCCTGAAAAAGTTCTACATATTTACAAGTATTCATGCCTTTTCTGGGATTTAAATGCAAACCCAGTGTTATGATAGTTGTTTGTGCTAACCACCATACTGAACAGGGTAGCATTGAAATGCATGAGATCATTTACTGTGCCATAAGAATTATCAAATAAAAAAGCTATTCATCCCAATCGTATCTGAATACTCTATTTATCCTCTACCATAAGATTTGAAGAATACTAACAAAGAGTGTATCAGCAAAGGAGTAGATTTCAATAAATACAGGCTCAAGTTACCTAATTTCTAATCCATTTCCTTCTAAACTAAGAAGGGAAGTGTAATGATATGATTTCAGGTTACTTTTGAGCCCTTCAACTGGATTAAAAAGCCCAGAATAATCTTCACCAAATTTATCACCAAAATCCAAAACAGATTCATCAAATTTTGTAGATTCATCAAAACCTGTCGCAGCCACAGCTGGAACAACATGAATGGCAATTGTATCCAATAACCTTTTAATAACAGGATCACCAAGTCTGTAACCTACAAAAATAAATAAATAAATAAATAAATAAAATAAAATAAAATAAAAAATAAATAAAAATAAATAAATAAATAAATAAATAATAAATAAAATAATAATAATTAAATAAATAAATAAAATAAATTACATGTCACAAATAATATGTTTTAACAGATGTTTAGAAATGTAAACCTTTGAGAAGGGCTATCACTGGTACTTAATTATAATCCTGACACTTAAGTATTCCCTAGATTGGAGGGATGGAACCGAACAGCATGAACTGGATGTTACACTGTATAAAAGACATATTATTTATAATTTTGCATATGAAATAAAAGATAAAAAATCAGTTTAACTTTTTCTGATAGCAAAAATTATCACGAGCGTATGACTTCATTTTCTGCAAAAGAAGTGCATTCGGAGTGTCAGTGCATAAACTGGGTCTAAACTAAGTCATTCTTCTGCACAATGTTGAAATTCCTCCCAGGTGGTACAATCATACTGTAATCTATAACAGTTGTACAATTTCTCTTAGAATCCACCATGCCTTTAACTAGAGCAGCTGGTTTAGTACTTCTTCATGCAATTTTTTTTTTGGGGGGGTATGGCAGAATTTGGAAACACAAGTGGAAACAAAGATGCAGATTCCAATTGCTTGTGCATGGTCAGCACATGCAACTGGAATATTGTGTTCTACCAAAAATGCTTAGAATATTTTTTGTATTTACAACAGAACTGTATTTACAACTTTGTATTTACAACAGAATTGATGTTACTTTTTATGAGAAATGATGACACTGCCTTAGAAGCAGGTTTTATTTTTATGCAGTCCTGGTGCATATCACCTACTTCTGTTATGACAACTATGAGTGACTGAAAAGTCCCAATTGCATACAGAGCATGATGCATGATTTTCTGAAAATAATGACCCCTCTTTATTACAACTTTATACTTTTGACATCTTTTTGCTTCTCTCAAAACAAGATGATAAATTATTTATCAAAACAATTTTTAATAAAAATATACAATTGAATCATATGCACATGTTTACGATTTCAACAAACAACATACAACAGCTTACACAACATGAACATAGTGTCAGTATAACGATTTCATTGAATCCGACATGTCAATTTTGACATCATATTCAGACAGTTGGACTTGATATACTATATCAATCATGACATCGGCATAACTGTAGGTGAACATTTGCTCACTCATACATACAGTACAAAGTCCGTAATCCCAACGTCCATTATCCGGAATGATCTATAATCCGGACCTCAAAGCCACAAACTTACACATGCGTGTTTAATGCATGCATCCGCTACACATGTGCGTAAAGCATTTACCCATGCAGGCTTCCGATAGAAAATGACACAGAGGTTATTGAAAACTAAAAAATTTCTATTTACAAGTTAGTCGGTATTCTCGACACAGCAATTACAGGACTTTAATGGTGGAACTTTGTAACTGAACAAGAAATTATGTCTGTTTATAGAATTAAAGAGAAAGTATTAGCACAAAAAAAAAAAAAAAAAAAAAAAAAAAAGCAACTTAAATTGAAAGAAATGTTTAATAAGGTAAAAAAAAAATAAATAGTTTGCTTTTGTTTGTTTCTTTGTAAATTTTGATAACCTTTAGATCATAATTGCTCTTTATTTCATAAATTACGGTTTCATATTTTTAATTGTATAATTTCTGCATGACATCTTACCAGATTTAAATTGATGATCTATAATCCGGAATCGTTTAAGTCCCGACGAGTCTGGATTACGAACTTTGTACTGTATTTGTAATTCCATAACAGCGGATAGAAATCGGACATAATTATGATAAATCCATAATAGTTGATATGTCTAGATATTTTATCACTTCGAATTTTAAATTAATTATATGTGCACAAATGCACTAAATTGACTACAAATGTGTATACAAACAACTTTCTTTCATAAAATTTTAATGGAAAAAAAAAAAAAAAAAAAAAAAAAAGGGGGGGGCCCAGTTTTTCTTATTTTTAAAAAAAGGTTTTGAGTAAGATTTTTCAAAAAGTTGTAAGCCAAATGCATGTACTGTTGGCAAGTACATAAAATATGAATCAGTATTTTCTCTATTTACACTTGCATGCACTTTTTACGTTATTTTTTGATGTTTTGAACTAAGCTAAATGCAAAAGAAACATATTTTGTGAGATGAATTCATGAGCCATAATTTAGTTTTTTCCAAAAATTAAATGTGAGCCAAAGCTGTAAATATATTTTTTCAAAAGAACCATTCTGCAGATTCATGACATTGGTGAGGCATAATTAACACATTACACTACAAGTAAAGTGGCAGCTATTCAAATAGAAAATTACATAATTTTCAATTAAAAAATAAAGCTGCATAACACATGCAAAATAAAATATCTTATTACAATAATATATTTTTTTTTTTTCTGAATCAATCTTCACTAATCATTAGACCTTCCAGGAATTGTGGAATAACGTTTAAATTTTTATTTAACATGATTTAAAACTTGAGGAATATTACAAATATTAAACATCATTTCATTATGCAAATTAAACTGCTCAAATTTTAAAACATCAATTTGATATGAAATTTCTTCTATAGTTATGTTTTGAGAAGAAAAATGAGCTTCTTATGAAGTTAACATATTAAAAATACTCCATGATAATATAAGAACTTTTAAATTTTTATGTAGATGGTTATCATAATAAAACATATAGTTTGTAAAAATTAAGAGATAATCTGAAAAAGTATATCACTAATTAAAAATTTTACTAATGTCCAATGAGGCAATTAATTTTGTCATTATCTGCAAATGAATGGAAAATTGCACTTCTGCATGTAGATTAACAAATAAAATATATAAATAAGGGTGACTGACAATCTATTGCACAATGAATGCTTATCATTGGAATTCAGGTGTATAGTATTATCTAACCTTCCATTCAGTCAAAATTTCAGCTTTGAAACATCAAATTTTTCAAAACTGTCAACAGAAAAGTACATTTTTTGGCTGACATTTATAATACCAATTGTTTTCAGTATTTTATACCTGGATTCTTTTCTTCTAATACACTGTCTTAATTCCTTGGACATATTTTAAAATGCACATAAATATAATTGCTTAACAGCATTACAAAAAATATTCAAGAACATGTACATACAGCCTATACTTATAACTCAAAGGTATCATTTATGAGAAAGACATAAGTGATAGTTGACTGGGACACTTAAGGTAGCAAACACAATGAAGGCCACTTAAGACCTGAATATCCCTCAAAATGTCATATCAAAAGTTGGAACCACTTTTTAAGAAGCAAATCTGTTAGATGGACAATGATCAAGGGCAGCTAAGAGCAACAACATTAGAAATCAGATTTCAGCCATTGTTGGATTGAAGACACCATAAAGAGTGTTGGTTTTAGACCCTGAGGCTGCCACATTAACTTGAATTAGCAATTCTACTGCTCCATGAAGGCTACGCAAGGTTAGACTGAATGCAAGAAAACCAATGGTTTATATTCCATTCTTTTCATCTTCCAAAGAGGCCCATTTAAAGTGGTGAAATCATCATGCTCAGTGGAGCCAAGCGGAATGAGGTTGTACAGTCTTTGTTGATGAATCCAGTTATTAACTGAGATGTGATTTTAGTTGTGTTTTGATCGAAAGGGTTCAAGGAATATGCAATTCGCCTTGTTTGTGAAAGATCTCATTACCATGAAAGTGGTTTTATAATTCAGGGTGGAATCATCAAAAATGGTTAATACTGAGCATCTCTGTGGTCAGAATACTTGAAATTAGAGGATATCACACAAATAGATTAAACAGCTTATTCACAAGATTTGAACTAAATCGAGAACGTGTAACATCACCAAATTCCAGCATGCCAAATGCATGCAAATGGGCTTTCCAGGAAGTGAATGTGCACTTTCAGAAGAGTGGCATGGAATTCCATAAAACTAACAATTTGGATTAACATTTTGGAACATTCTCTGACAACAATATGTTATCAGGTTCAGTGTTCCTCCTTACTTGCTTCGGGAACATTACATGACCTGACTCGGAACAGGGAGCTTACTAAAGCTATGTTCAATAAATGTGGGAAGTAGACAAAACACACAGGAAGGGTATACGAAACCCTTTATTTTTCTCTTCACAATGATTTCCGGACTTCGGAATACAGAGACCAACCACTTGTGGTCTGAACGTAAGAATATAAAAATATTAACTAAATTCTAACAAAACTAACTTTGGATTAATAAACAAGGGTCAACTCGAAGATTGGCCGTATATTAACAGAAAGGCCGTATGTAGTACAGAGAACTGTTAACACTACGATACATTTAAAATTATCAAGAGGATTAAACATCTGGCCTTGCAGGCAACCAGCAACCGAGTAAAACTGCTAAGGCAAGCGGCCTGCTTCTACTAACTCCCTCCTCTCTCTTGCTTGGCAAAAAGCCACAACTTAAGTACTTGGCGTTCGCAAGACAAATTTGCATAACTAAGTTAAAGCTTTTAATTCGGCCGGAAGTAGAAAATAAGAAGTGATAGTAAAGATTTAAAATAAAATAAACGTTAGTAAAACTTAAGATCCTTACATACTTCCCGCCAGAGTTAATTAGTTTGAAACTGAGGTCTAAAACGACCTTGTTGAAAACTTTTAGCTCTAGAATCTAACGCGAGGCCAATCTTTTACAAACATTTCTCACTAGAAACTAGAAATTTAAAAAAAAAAAATCGTTTTTACATTATCAATCTCCATGGACAATTACTTTTCATCTGTACTGCATCTAAACAGGAGTTTCTAGTTGAAATCTGGTTCCTTCCAGAGATCTGGAAGGAAAACTAGTTTAATGAAATGTTACACAATTAAATGGCAAGTAACATGAATATTTATATTTCTCTTAACATTCTTATTTTCATTCATGACTATTTTAATTCTCTCCCCGTGCTCTCTGACATGTGTTGTAAAGAAAACACCAAACACGAATGTGTTTATGTACAAGTG